TGAATTAAACATTCTAGTTACACCTCTCTAAGATTTTCCACAGATCACAGGCTTGCCTAGTTTTATTGCACTTATTATAATCATGAATATACTTATAGTCCAGCAGCACTGCGTACATATATTGCGTTTTTCCTCATGTATGGGGTGTGTGTGGGGTGTGTGTGGGTGGGGTGGGGTGGGTGGGGTTGGGGGTAAGTGTTGTGGTTAAAGCGTTCGCTCGTCACGCCGAAGATCCGGGTTCGAGTCCCCCCCTGGGGTACAATGTGTGAACTCAATTTCTGGAGTCCCCCGACGCGATATTGCTGGAATATTACTAGAAAACTAACTCACTCACTCTTCATGTATTGGAGATAAATAAACACAAACACGTCAACGTAGTGCTGAATCTACTAGTGCATCTCTTCTGGAATTCTATAAATATTTGATTAGTCATATGATTCCGTACTAATTCAGCAGTCAGGATGTCAAAATTGGAACACATTCCTATCGTTTAAATACATCCCTCATTATGTTTGTAATAGTTCCGTAAAACCTCTGTGGGCACATGTATAGCATAATTGTGTAGGAAGTCCATGCATTTCACATTTGGATCCAATTGTCTGTGACAATCCAGTTTTGGTATGTGTGTTTCACATATTATTGCTATACTAGTAGTTGTTTTTAAGTGGCAGTGTTATTCACTTTGTAACTATGTACCAAGTGTACAACATTGTGGCAGTGTTATTCACTGTGTAACGATGTACCAAGTGTACAACATTGTGGCAGTGTTATTCACTGTGTAACGATGTACCAAGTGTACAACATTGTGGCAGTGTTGTTCACTGTGTAACGATGTATCAAGTGTACAACATTGTGGCAGTGTTATTCACTGTGTAACGATGTACCAAGTGTACAACATTGTTTCCTCTAACATTCAGTGGTCTACAGTTTCTTTACGCTTGCAATTTTTGATGACATGACGCTTAGTACCTTTCTTGGATGGACTTGGACACCATCACGAAAAAAATATACCATCTTACGTCTACCACACAGCGGGATGAACGGAAACAACACCCCATTGTTATGTAGATGAATGCACTGTAAACAAAGGGAAACAGCGGGCGGTTAACCACTGTGACGTCACATCTCAAACTCTGCCGAGGCTGTGATTACAATATGCATACGGTACGTGCAGGTTGTGGAATAACAGCAGATGTTTGGTGCTTTTCAGATAACAATTAAATCTCTAATGACTTTCTTGGGCGTAAATAAGTATACTTTGTTTTGCCCATTTAACATATGCTAAGAAGTTTATTTTCCATATACCTCCTTTAAAGGTCACATGCGACGTAAAACACAACTTTGCAGATTCTGATACCTTTCGGTATGGACATACAGATACAAATCATAAAAAATGCAAATTCAACTAATAAAGTTGAAAAATAACGCGGTGAAAAAAAACCCCGCGAAATCGGAGTTCAAACGATTCACTAAATTCACCCCAGCTTGGGGTGAAAAGTCATTTCAACATCTGTGCTGCGCAGCGCTGGGCTGCGCTCATAGCGCATGCGCAGTGAATAGGTTCGCGCAGCTTGGAAGCGGATTGTCCTGATTATAAGGTCATGAGCAGGAGTAGTCTAATCAAAACAAATAGTAAATAATCTACTCGTTACATAAAAGAACCTTGTTAGGATCTAGATCTACTCAGCTATGTGTCAACCAGTAAGGCGTTCGACATTTCAAGACGGCGGTGAGTACTCGGTGAAGGCTTTGATGTGAGCTATTTTTCTAATGTTTTGTTGATATTTCACAGGCGCGAACTTTATATATGTTATGGCAGTAGATTACAGATTTAACTGTTTACATAATTTCATTTGTCTATTTCACCACATGTTCTTCTTACCGAGTCACTTTCTCAGTTCGATACTAAAAAGCAATGCCATTATTTAGCATTGACAGAATTTCTTACTGTGGTATAGATATGTCTTTGTCGCAGACAAAACTCAATGTCTGTTTTATTGACACCAATGTGTTTGCCTGCCTGTCTGCTAATGATAATATGCAAAACACAACTTCGATCACTGACCACATGCAATTTGAACTTAACACCATAAACAAAACGCATTGATTTATGGCTCGTGCAACCGAGTTCGGCCTCTGTCACATTATGTAATTATACAGACAGGCAGGTGTGATACTTGTACACATGACATGTTATGATGTCTGTTGATTGCAAAATGTTATACACAAAAATTGAGCATGTATTTACAAAACCCAACATCTCTGTATACACACACAATGAGCCGTGAGGGCATCGGCAAATGAACAAGCCAATGAAAGTTCTCGTTACACTTGAGTGCACACCCATCCGCTCGGACTGGGTTCGGTATCCCGGGTGCTTTGTTTCGAGGTAAGTCAACCCAAGTACAGAATATTGCACTTATGATTTGCGATTGTACGCTTATAATTTTTTTTATATGTTTTTTTTCATAAATCAGCAATGTATATTATATGTCATGAACAAGTGATAATTGTGTTTTAATTATGTTTGATCTTTTGGTTGCATGTGACCTTTAAATTAAGACTTGTGCTATATTTAAACAGAGTTCTGGAAGGTACTACTGAGTAATGCAACCCTATGGGCCTTTCCACTATAATCTGAGCCAGGGAGTAGGAGCATCTTCTGGAGTCTTTTTCTTAGGTATATAAATAGTGTATAAGGCAAAATCAATAGTGAAACAAACAGAAGTACAAAGAGCGAACAGATCCGAACGAGTATTTTGTCTTCTTCTAAATGTGGCTGCGTTACTATAACATTATGAGTAACTCTCTGGCCCATTTCTGGCGTCCCTTGCTGATATTTTTGGGATATTGCTACAAAGGGCGTAACACTTAACTCACTTACTCACCTCACTCCACCTCTGATACATTCAGTGTTTTTCTACTGGAGACATCGACACGGTCACAACATAGACTCTTGTCTTAATTAAAAGGTACCCAAAACACAAATTGAATACATTTCCCTTAATGTTCAACCAACACATGCATACCTATAAAGCAAAGATTATATTCAATTCATTGCCTGGTTTACACCTACAAACCTGTTTTGGACATCATGCGATTACATCCTTTTCAAAATGATTTAGATATAAAGGCATCTCCCCAGTAAAGAATATGGTACCCTCATAGTGCTGGAATATTGCTCACTCACTACTACCGGTCTAGAGATCAGACAGTCCATGGTTCCATCACGGTTCACGGAATTATTACACCCCCCTAAACACCAAAACAAATTCGTGTTCCGTTACGACTCACCCTTTCTGATGGTCCTGTGGTATGAGGCGAATGCATTGGCTGGAATCAAAGGGAACGACAGAGCTCTACTTACCCAGTTATGACATACTTAGTTCAGTGTGAGTGTTGGGTCAACAGTTGATTTAAATGGGATGTAGACGGTATGCTGCTGATATTAAAGATTCGGACGACGTCGTAAACGTCGGACCATTTCTCTCTAAAAGTATTTTGATGTTGGATATATGAGGAGTTGCATAGGTAATATATTCAATATATCAGGACGGCCCACCAATGTACTTCAACGAAATTTATCACTGAAGAGCTACAGAAACAAAAGACATTGGTAAATTTGGAGATCAGTTAAGAACGTGCATCTTTTAACCGAAACTTTAATGGAAAAATATTCGCCAAAATGCAACACAAGCTAGATATTGTTCCCTCCTTTTCGTGAAAAGTGTTTTACTTTTACTGCGGACAATGAAATGTTATTTACTGGGGAAGATTCTTCCACATCCGGGGAAGGATTTGACCAACATCCTGCAGCGTTGTTGGAGGATACGATTGACGTTGTACACGTCGCCCACTGTTCAGTGGGAGACAACTCAGGGAATCTGGTGGTGGAAGGTAACGCATTAACTTTGTTCTGATGATGATAAACTTCACAATTTGAGCAACGCGTTGAAACGTCACTCCTCGGCCGTCCTTCTGCAAGAAAAGGTAAAGCGGCCATTTGAAAATTCTCCTTTCGGTACCTCAAAGCGTTTGATTTCCTCTCAATCAACAATCATTGTCGTCCTTGCTGCAGCTGTGACCCTACCACCTCCAAAACGACCCCTTTCTAGAACACATGGCCTGATGTAACGGACAATGTCCTGTCGTCAGTTCGGTGAAGATAGAGACTCATCAGTGAAGGGAATTCTTCTCCATGTAGGTGCTCCCCATCCACTGTCTGCTCCACTGGAGAATTTGACGTTGATGTACTGTTATCATTCTGTTAATCTTGTACTAATCTATAGTTTGCCAGTATCGATATTACATGCAAATGTACTGGTAGTATGTACAGCCCAAAGTCAGTATAGAAATTAACAGAGTTGTTAACCGTTGTCAAGTCAGTAACGTATTATCGCAGATAAAATTTCCGATTTCCTGATAATATGACCGATCACTCCTATGCATTCCTCTATCACTATTTTATCTCTCTCTTTCATTGACCCGTGAAGGTCCGGGTTAGAATGAACCTTCAGTAACCCATGCTTGTCGTAAGAGGCGACTAACGGGATCGGGTGGACAGGCTCGCTGGCTTGGTTGACACATGTCATCGTATCCCAATTGCGTAGATCGATGTTCATGCTGTTGATTGCTGTATTGTCTGGTCGAGACTCGATTATTTACAGACCGCCGCCATATAGCTGGAATATTGCTGAGTGCGGCGTAAAACTTAACTCACTCACTCACTCTCTTTCATGGTGTTCTTTCTTATTCAGTGTTTCATTGCGTATATTGTTTGTTTTTCAGTAATTGTATACTATGCATCTTTTATTCTTAAATATACGGTTTTATTTTATTATGGGACTTGTTTGAACACGTTTTATCATGTATTGTGTAATATTTTGTGTAATTTATTACACAGTATGGAACATTATGTAAAAAGCATGCCTTGTGTTTTCATGCATTAAATACGTGTATTTAGGACATAAGACAATACGATGCTTCAAACATATACTGGGTATGTCATCAACTTACAAGCTCGGTGAAAGCATTTTAAAGGGGGATTTCGCAAACGAAACTGAACCTGTACGGTGAACACGGTACGTCATTCAGCTTGTATTTAAGCTCCGTTCGCATGTCGCCGCATTTTTCATTCCGACTGTTAGGTTCGCCCGGGGCCCAGAAACTTCGGTTTACAGAACTGTTGTCATCCCATGTCATGCGACTGCCACCTGCGCTCTTCAGACCAACCCAGTACTTTGCATTCTTCTTGGCTGAAACAGTGAGTGAGTGATTGCGTGAGTGATTGAGTGAGTGATTGAGTGAGTGATTAAGTGATTGAGTGAGTGAGTGATTGAGTTAGTGAGTGAGTGAGTGAGAGTGAGTGAGTGAGTGAGTGAGTGAGTGAAGCGGGTGAAAATCCCATATCAATTCAACACAGTATGCGTAACACAATACACCGAGATGTGAAACATGATTTATATGTAGATGTGTATCTATACACCGAGATGTGAAATGTGATTTATATGTAGGTGTGTAATTATACACCGAGATGTGAAATATGATTTATATGTAGATGTGTAACAATACACCGAGATGTGAAAAGTGACTTATATGTAGGTGTGTAATTATACACCGAGATGTGAAATGTGATTTATATGTAGATGTGTAACAATACACCGAGATGTGAAACATGATTTATATGTAGGTGTGTAACTATACACCGAGATGTGAAATATGATTTATATGTAGGTTTGTAACTATACACCGAGATGTGAAACATGATTTATATGTAGATGTGTAACAATACACCGAGATGTGAAACATGATTTATATGTAGGTGTGTAACTATACACCGAGATGTGAAACATGATTTATATGTAGATGTGTAACAATACACCGAGATGTGAAATGTGATTTATATGTAGATGTGTAACAATACACCGAGATGTGAAACATGATTTATATGTAGATGTGTAACAATACACCGAGATGTGAAACATGATTTACATGTAGGTGTGTAACTATACACCGAGATGTGAAATATGATTTATATTTAGGTGTGTAACTATACACCGAGATGTGAAATATGATTTATATGTAGATGTGTAACAATACACCGAGATGTGAAATGTGATTTATATGTAGATGTGTAACAATACACCGAGATGTGAAACATGATTTATATGTAGATGTGTAACAATACACCGAGATGTGAAACATGATTTATATGTAGGTGTGTAACTATACACCGAGATGTGAAACATGATTTATATGTAGATGTGTAACTATACACCGAGATGTGAAATATGATTTATATGTAGATGTGTAACAATACACCGAGATGTGAAATGTGATTTATATGTAGATGTGTATCTATACACCGAGATGTGAAACATGATTTATATGTAGATGTGTAACAATACACCGAGATGTGAAACATGATTTATATGTAGGTGTGTAACTATACACCGAGATGTGAAATATGATTTATATGTAGATGTGTAACAATACACCGAGATGTGAAACATGATTTATATGTAGGTGTGTAACTATACACCGAGATGTGAAACATGATTTATATGTAGGTGTGTAACTATACACCGAGATGTGAAACATGATTTATATGTAGATGTGTAACTATACACCGAGATGTGAAATATGATTTATATGTAGATGTGTAACAATACACCGAGATGTGAAATGTGATTTATATGTAGATGTGTAACAATACACCGAGATGTGAAACATGATTTATATGTAGATGTGTAACAATACACCGAGAAGTGAAACATGATTCATATGTAGGTGTGTAACTATACACCGAGATGTGAAATATGATTTATATGTAGATGTGTAACAATACACCGAGATGTGAAACATGATTTATATGTAGATGTGTATCTATACACCGAGATGTGAAATGTGATTTATATGTAGGTGTGTAATTATACACCGAGATGTGAAATATGATTTATATGTAGATGTGTAACAATACACCGAGATGTGAAATGTGATTTATATGTAGGTGTGTAATTATACACCGAGATGTGAAATATGATTTATATGTAGATGTGTAACAATACACCGAGATGTGAAACATGATTTATATGTAGATGTGTAACTATACACCGAGATGTGAAACATGATTTATATGTAGATGTGTAACAATACACCGAGATGTGAAACATGATTTATATGTAGGTGTGTAAGTATACACCGAGATGTGAAATGTGATTTATATGTAGATGTGTAACTATACACCGAGATGTGAAACATGATTTATATGTAGATGCGTAACTATACACCGAGATGTGAAATGTGATTTATATGTACATGTGTAACAATACACCGAGATGTTAGACAAGATTTATATGTAGGTGTGTAACGCGATGTGTACCTAGATTATATGTAATACAACGTATACTGGTATGTGTAACAGGATATATACCGATATGTGTAACACCATACGATTCGTACCTTCATACGACGCATATGTTTCACGATTGGCGTACGTTTTTCTGACAAAGAATGTACCAAGATACACCGAAGCTGAGCAGTAAAACACACAAAAGGATGAGTACCCTGGTGCGGTTCAAACGCTACACTATGCTTATCATGTTGATTATTACAATATATTATTACCTAGTTAAGAGAGATTCGTGAAAGAGTTGCTTTACCTGAAGAGAGCCCCGCTCGTAAGGCTTCAAATTTCTTCTCGGTATTCAGGATTGCTAACCGGCCATTAGCACCTCCTTTTCTACACGTCAGTACGGCCTGTTTGTGTTGCTTTTCCTTGGAGTATATTTTGAAACAGAAGCCACCAGAGAAGGTGAATGTCTTAGGGCAGTGGGGATCTCTGCGTACTGTGAAAAGATGAATGAGCATATCATTTGTAAAATTCATTTTAAACACTGATCGATATATGTTGATCACTGGATTTTCTGGTCCTGACTCGATTATTCACAGACTGCTGTTATATAGCTGGAATGCTGAGTGCGGCGTAAAACAACAACCAACCAACCAACTGTTATAGTTGGGTAGATGCCTTTGAAGAGGATCTCGGTGGAATTGTGTAGTCAGTGTGCTTTCAGTACTTTTACCCTCCTCGTCCATAATGGCAATCAGAAAACATTGACATGACATGTGACATACCTTCTTGTTTGGAAGTGGTAGTAGGAGGAGCTGTAGTTGTAGTTGTTGTAGTCGTAGTTGTTGTAGTCGTCGTTGTTGTAGTCGTCGTAGGAATAGTTGTAGTAGTAGCAGGAGTAGTTGTTGTAGCAGTAGGCGTAGTAGGCGGAGCGATACTACTAGTTGTTGTAGTTGTCGTAGGAGTAGTTGTAGTAGTAGAGGGAGTAGTTGTCGTAGGAGTAGTTGTAGTAGTAGAGGGAGTAGTTGTAGCAGTAGGCGTAATAGGCGGAGCAGTACTACTAGTTGTAGTCGTAGGAGTAGTTGTAGTAGTAACAGGAGTAGCTGTTGTAGTTGCTGCAACAGTAGGGGTAGTAGGCGGGGCAGTAGTAGTAGTTGTTGTTGTAGTTGTCGTCGTAGGAATAGTTGTAGTACCGGGCGTAGTTGTAGACCGAGGTGAGGTGGTTTTCTGACTAACTTTCGTAGAAGACAAAACACAGTTATTCCACAGAAGACAATAAACTTGATAAGAAGGAAAACTCAGTTTGTGTCCTTATGCTTTATCCGTTGTTTTAAAACGTTTTAATTACGCCGAAAAACAACTTTGAGTCGGATTTGTTTATCTAAAATTTACGAAGTGATCTCAATGCGATAGATCTTGGAGGTCAGTCAAGAGAAATATAGCTGGTCGCCACAGAAAGAATTATCGTTTGAATTATTAGTAACAAGAAGAAGGTAACAACTAGAGTTTACAGCAAAATTCGAGAAACAGTTTTTGATCTGTATTGCTGTTTATACCTTTTTCCTATCAGAAGGCAAATCGCTCAAAATGATGTGGTAACTTTTGGATAGGGCCCATCACGATCTTGAGCGTGACCCGAAACATTGCTAAAGTTAAAAGCACCACCAAATAAACACAGAAAACACGAGAACTTCAAAATCAGAAGATTTTATCTCGACTGTGAAGTAGAGTGTTTTTTACACGTGAATCTGAGTTCAGATTACAGCTGATCGTCGAGGGAATGTGGGTCAAGGACGCATGTACTGACCAAAGGTACCTCAGACATAGAACGTGTCACGTGTTCCCTCGTGCGCATCAAACAACATATGGGATCAGAATAAGTTAAATGTCAATGTGACAAAATCACAAGTTAAGGGGTGCAAAATATGTAAATATGGAAGATATATGAAAACGTCAATAAAAGGATATATATATATATCCCATGGTTTGTGAGAAGACAATTACTGGGGGTATTTTAAGCAAAACTAGAAGTAATGAGTTTAGAAATGAAAAGTGGAAAGTATCACACCTGGTAATTTTGTTACGTATCATCATTCACAAGCTTCAACATAGTTCTGTTAGAAATGAACATATGGAGAGGTGCTTAACTTTATTCCAGGTTTATAATTAGAAGCGAATAAACCATGTCCATATTCTTAGAAATATTGTTTAAGGTAGAGGCGATTGTACGATTCCGACCATACCATCCGCATGTGTTGATGGATGACGATACAATAGTGACGATGACAGGTGTTCGCAAACCAACGTGACGATTAATTACTATTCTGAATTCTATGGTATTAGCAAACAATCTCACCTACCTGGTCTGGGCCCCTCAACGTGTGTTTTGGGGAGACCTGTGTTGGGGATGAAGCTGAACCCTGGCTGAAACCCAGTGAAACCGCGAGGCACAGTTAGGGAGGAGGATACCGTGGGTGGGACCAATAATCCTTTGGAGAATGAAGGAGCGTTGTGGGTCTTTTCAAAATCTTCAGGATTTAATTGGTGTGGTTTACCGCCAAATCCGCTAAATCCCGATACAGACGATTGTTTGGGTGACTCTTTGAATCCATTTGCCATGGACGACTGGGTGTTGCCTTTGGTGAAGTGGAAACCTTTTTGGAGAAATACAGTGTTTAAGGGGTTTGGTGGAACACGTTAACGTTTACTCCGCAACTCAAACTGTCATGTCACGGGTCAAATAACAATATATACTCCAAAATGATAACATGGAGTTTGCATTATAACCATCACCGTTAGATTATCAGTGTAGACATTTACTTATCGTTTGAGATAAATGTTATTAACTTTTGTAATATTTTTCATGTTGACTTGTTTATTTATGCAAGCTAAATAGCCATGACACACATCTTAAGTTTAAGCGAGTGAACAACTCTAGACGTTTTATTCATCCCACACTTTTAAGATTATAGTTTAGTTTATTTTTGCATACAAAACATGAGACATAAGCAATGAAACTATTCCAGTAATTGTAAGACTTCTTTGCCAAAGCATGATCTGCATTCTGCCTACTTGGACCCGTGAATTTACAGTTGGAGGAACATTTAGATTTCGAAAAGATTATGAAAATCGGATTTCAGAGGTTATCTGTCCCAGAAAAGCTATAAACTATGCTTTCGACCCCAATAAAATGCATATACATGTAGGACTCAGATCTGTGGCGGGTCTCTAATCTATGGCGGGTTTCCTAATCCGTGGCAGGTTTGATTGTTCGATTGTTACATGATGTCATCACGTAATGACGTCCTTACGCGATGACGTCATAATCGCTAACCGTTCCCGACGTTATTCGACACCAGCCGTTCGTGGCGATAGTAATCTCAGGAAAATCTTCAAAGTTAAGAAAATGGAAACCATAGCAAATGATGGTTTTGTAATTGATGAGCCACCTACAAAGAAGAAGAAACCCGTATCAAAAGATCCCAATGCAGAAACATTTTGGAACGACATGGAAAAAATACGTCAGATTGCAAAACTGAAAACGCTGAATCCGAAATGGGAAAGTGTAAAGATTTGTAAGATCCTCTCGTCAGCGTTGTTATTACATAGTGGGTTGCTACTAGAGTAACCCAGTTTGTAATAACCCGTTATGTAATAAAATCGTTTAAGTGCGAGCTGTTTTGGACTTTGAAGATTTTATTACATAGTGCGTTGTTATTACATAGTGGGTTGCTACAGTGCTACACTCCGAGACTTCCCGCTGGAGCAGTTTGCGGACAAGCTCATGACGGAAGATGAGTTCTACGCGCGAGATGGACAGGCGGTCTATTTCAGACCAAACCCCGCGATGAACAAGGGCGTGGCTGTTTTTACCAGCGGCTTCTGGAGACCGGGAACTGTCACCCTATCTAAGAACTCCGAGTGTACGAGGTGACGGACACTCAAACCTACCATAGGTTCCAGTTGAACAGACATCTTATCCGAGATGGACAGATTTAGATGTATAATAAATAAATGTTTTTACACGTTATTCACTCTTTTGTGTTTCTTCATGTATTGTTGAATATTAAAAGGAAAGCAAACGTATTCGATAATTAGAACGGCCTAAATTTTCGAAGCTCTCTTACTTCTATGATTGTCGTAAAAACATTAGCAATATCGAAAGACGATCTTAGCGCTAACATAGCATCGGATATCTAGGTACATGGGTATCAGAAAGTTAGAAACACATAAATGAAATGCCATTAACCCCTATTCTACCGAGCTGAAATGTTCTAATGACGATGAGTAGGAAATCCGCCACAGATTAGGGTAGGTACGGCAACTAGCCATGGATTTGGAAATCCACCACGGATTTGGAAATCTACCACGGATTTGAGGCCTGCAATGGATCCGAGTCCTACGTATACACATACACGTAGTTGCAGTTGCAGCTGAAAAACGTTGCCATACAAAATCTCAACCAGCTGTCTCTCCACAGCAACACTCTCCCCGAATAAATATCACTCTTTCCGGGTTTACACCGTCATAAGTATCACATGGTCACTGCGCTGATATTCTGTTCGTTATTCACGTGGAATCAAATTAGTTCCAGATCACAAACAAAATTGTAAGGCGTGACACCTTCTGAACTATGGATTTGTTTTGCCCAACAACAATCTGTTTATCGGAAATACACGTAACGGCTGTTATTTACAGAAACCCCAAATCATGATTGCCACAGACACAGGGATTCGAATCACTGTTTTGGCAATGATTAAAAATAAATAAAAATCTAGACTTTGGCTATCGTATATTGTTTTTGTATGTTATGATTAATCTATACTTTAAATTTGAACGAGATCGGCCAAATGATTTTTTTAAAGAAAATTCTACCGCTTAACTCATTACGTATTTTATTAACACTGTTTGCCCATACAGTGATTCGAACCCCTGTAGCCACAAATGTGTCAGAGGCACTATTGTTGTATACTCCTCAGGGAGTTGAGATTGATAATACGAAGTGCCGTTGAGACTGACATCCAGTGATCGAGGGGAACAAATCCCACCGCCTTGAGCAAGCACTAGTTGCCTGGATATGTGCGCTATATAAATATCCTATAATAATAATAATAATAATATCTGAACTGTATTGTAGTTACCATTCACAGCGGTAAGTCCGGATGACGCCGACTGGGTAGGCTTGGGTGGCTGTAACCCACCGAGGGTTGAACTCACGAATGGTTGGAAAACGCCTGCGCTTGAGCCTGTTAATAAACGAATATGCAGATTTGCGTGTTTGTTTGCAATGTTCCAGCTATATGAACTCACCATTTGGTAACTCAGCCAGGGGAGATTTGAATGACTGTAGTCCATTCAAGTTTGGGTGAGTGAGTGAGTATGGTTTTACGCAGCTTTTTAGCAATACCCTAGCAATATCACGGCGGGTGGACGCCAGAAATGGGCTTCACATATTGTACCCATGTGGGGAATGGAACCCGGGTCTTCGGCGTGATGAGCGGACGTTTTAACCACTAGGCTACCCTGCCGCCCCCATTAAGGTGTGAACTCTTTGCTGGTTGAACCTGGTTGTCCATGACGATTTTTGAAATATTTGTATATGATATACTTTTTGAAGATAAATTTGACCTTTTCCCTTTGACCTGGCGGTCCATGCTTGTTGTGTTCTTTGTTTGTCTGTTGTTTGATTGTCTCAGCAATATTCCAGCTACAGGGCGGCGGTCTGTAAATAATCGAGTCTGGACCAGACAATCCAGTGATCAACAGCATGAGCATCGATCTATGCAACTGGGATACCATAACATGTGTTAACCAAGTCTGCGAGCCTGACCTCCCGATCCCGTTAGTCGCCTCTATGGTCAGTTCTGACCGGGAGCCCCACGGGTATTTTCTTGCTGTAAGATCTGGGCCCCGTTCCTCAAAGCGATCGTAGCGCTAAGATGATCGTAACTCCCATACTTTAACATAGACTTACGACAGTCGTAGCGCTACGATCGCTTTGAGGAACAGGGCCCAGGTCGGGGGACAAACTTGAGTGTTTGTCATTCTACCCAGGTCGCGTGAGACGAAAGTCATAATATCAATGACGTGTGTCAAGATTATTTGCAGGCATATGACTGGAGTATAAGGATATCCTCGAGGGCTTAAAACACAACGTTCTTACCGATTCCTTCTACCGGTGCTGACGAAGGTCCGTATGAAGGAGGCTTTAGTTTTGCTGAGACGTCATTCTGGAAACCGTAGAAACCTGATGTACTGCTGAACACAAAATGTTGAAGAACGACCACAACTAAGTGGACATGGGCCATACTCGCAAACTTGTGACCGTCTAGTTGAAACCTTATCTTGATACGTTCTTTACATACTGACGGTCTATAGTTATATACAAACAAATACTTGCAAGATCTTTGTGAAACAACGTCCTCTTTGAGTGTTTTGCTCGTGGCCGTTGATGGAAATAGGCACGTTATTCGGCCCTTTTAACAAACAGGATTTAAAAAAAAGAAGGAAGAAGTATAATGCTTGATGCATTTTTTACACGCAATATCGTTCTCTGCGTCAATCAGTCAACTTGTAATTATCAATGCTGAAAAGCCACAGACCCACAGTCCATACATTATTATCACCTTCTTGCCATGGCTTAATACATGTACATCGATAAGTTACAAACAATATTTGTATTGACTGATCTCTTCAAAGCAATAACTTTAATTGTCTGACCAAAATATCACCCTTCTATTTATTTGGTACAGTTTTATAAAAGTGATATCCTCCTCAAGATTTCATTAATTATTACATTGGGTACATATTCTCTTACTGATTGGTGTATTATTTTGTTTCCCTAATTCAATCACCTAAGCGAAGTGCGTCTAAATCATGACAGTGACGATTGTACTGAATGATTTAGGATTAACAAGCATGAAATAGTTTTCAGGAGACAATATTTTTGTTTGTTTTGTATATAGTACATTTAGTCCAAGTTTGGATGTAAATATCACCGTTAAGTTGTCTTTGTGACCCAAGGCGGTGGGGTAGCACAGTGGTTAAAGAGTTCGCGAGTCACGCCGGAGTTCCGGGTTGGATTCCTCACATGGGTTCAGTGTGAAGCCCGTTTCTGGTGTATTTCGCCGTGATATTGCTAAAAGCGGAGTAAAACCCAAGTTACTCACCGATTCACTTGGTGACATTAGAAAGACATCTTGATTGTTTGGTACACATTGACGGTTGATTATATAATCGTGAGAACAATTATATAGAGTAAAGTCTTTATATGTAAAGAAGACCAGAGTTTAGATTCATAAAGCAGTAGCGTATCAACATGTTCTCGTGGAAATTAGTAACGTGACATCTTTTTTTGCATTTTCTACCAGTATTTTATGATGTGATACACTGTTAAACATACCACGGTGAACGTCCACAACTATTTGTGTGACGAGGTCGTTATCAAAATTTAAGGTCTGAGCTGAATTTCGATTTCAAATTGTCTGACAAGTATCTCACACTTCACTTGCCTGACGAAAGTGTGCTGCAGCTGATTCTGCGTTTCGACCCTTGAAGATCCGGGTCTTCAGCAACTAACGGGATCGGGTGGTAAGGTTCGCTAACTTGGTCATTGTATCCCAGTTGTGTAGATCAATGCTCATGCTGTTGATCACTGGATTGCCTGGTCCAGACTCGATTATTTACAGCATATAGCTGGAGTGTTACCGAGTTAAACGTTAAACAACAAGCACACACGCACGCACGCACGCACACACATAGACACGCGCGCGCACGTAAGCACGCACGCATGCACGTTGAGTCTGGTTACGGATCAATCGATCCCGTGCTCTTGGGGACCTGAACGGGGTCGGTCGTCGTTATTTTGGGTTTGTGAAACTGAAACATTGAACGTTTTAATAAGTGCCACTTCTCCCAGTTTCCAGATTAGCCCGTTACAGGCGCCGCGTCGCCCGTTTATACACAAACAAATTAATGAAATCAAGAACATCACAAATGTATGATTAGCAGAATCAATAACATTGACAGAAATAATGGTTCACAGAGATTTATTATCTTCAAGGTTATGGGTATACAGTTTGCGTTGATAATAAAAACTTCAAATATTAATGAGAATCAGCGGGAAACGTGTGTGTGTCTGTGTGTGTGTGTGAGAGAGAGAGAGAGAGAGAGAGAGAGAGAGAGAGAGAGAGAGAGAGAGAGAGAGAGAGAGAGAGAGATAGATAGAGATAGAGAGATAGATAGAGGGAGATAGATAGAGAGAGATTACTGGTAATTATATAACAACAATCAATTATATTAATTCGATTTGTTTATAAACAACACCGTTCAGCCACAATACTGCTGAAACAAATATATGTTATATGATATAGTCACAATCGTACAAACGACTCTGCCTTTAGCAGAGATTTCCTCTGGATTGGAAAGAGCCATGTCGCTTATATCTATCTATACACAAAGAACTTAGTTAAGCACCCCTTGACATATAACACGATTGGATGAGCCCCGATCTTAACCCTTTGGGGCATATCTGGGACATGATTGGTCGTCGTGCGCAACAAAGGGATTCTCCTGTTCAGAACCTGGCCCAATTGGAAGCTGCTTTACACGAGGAATGGCTTAGACTGCCCATTCAGAGGATCAGGAGGCTGACAGGGGGTATGAGGAGGAGAGTGCTGGCTGCCATACAGTCACATGGAGGTTACAGTCGGCATTGACCTTCAATCGCGTAAGACACGCAAAGTGACATTTTGAATGTTCACATTCACCACTAAATTCAACATTAAACATTCCAGGGCCATACTTGTACAGATATGGTGCGGTCTAGGCGTCTGACTTTGTGTGCTGGCGATTAGGTGCCTGACTCTGAGGGTGTGGGTTCGAATCCCGGATGGGACTCAATCCAACAAAAGTACTAGAATCTGTACTTTACAAAGAAAGTGTAATCCCAAATATAACATATGTTACATTTGACCACTTTCTAAATGGCATTGTGTATTTCATCAGATCAAACAGTTTTAGAATCAGGGGTAATCCTTACAGGTTATATACTTATTTGCTTCAAACCGCACACAATGAATCTTTTGACTGGTTACATATAGAATGTCCAGATTGAAAAGTAAACACTTCCAACAAGGTATGAGTCCAATTCCTCAGTTATCTCAATTGTTTGAGGCTACAAATATAATTGTACCATTCATGCATTCTTAAGTGAGCATTTGGTCTTGGGCGCTAACGTAATTCACTTATCAAATGAATGTATTTATAAGTATTTCTCTTCATCTGACAGGACCACCTGTGGTTCAAAAGCCGAAAGAAGATAACTGCGGCGACCAGGTAACATATGCTGTTATTGCCTGACGTCAGCTGTGTGTTAAGTGCAGTGATATACCTTTTTATCCCCACAGACTGGGCAGATATACATTGATTAGGACAGCATGCGGTGATCACAGTATCAAGGTCCAGCTATGGAATGCGTCCTACTAATCGTTAGATCAACATCTTGCTCATTGCTCACGAGGTTACGGTTCGATATTTATATATATTATTCGATTAGCATGAACAAATCAATAAACGCTAACATGCTGTGGGATAGATGGATTGCAGCTGTTATCACAGGCGAGTGAGTACGCCGCACTCAGTAGTATTCCAGCAATATCAAGACAGGTGACGTAAGAATGTGATTTTACACATTGTACCCACGTCGAACCCAAGCGTTTTTATCAGTAGGCTACTTAACAGATCTGTCACATTCCCCTCTCACTGTGTTAACATGCAGGTGATGTTGTTTTGCGTTGGAGGTTGTTATTTTGTTGGTTGTTTTGGGGTTTTTTAAAGAAAAAATAAACCCCGAAACCCCCCATCCCCCCATTGCCTGTAAGCTCAACACTCTCCCTTTTCCATCTTCACTCTCACAACCCGTGAAGGTCCGTGTTAGAATGAACCTTCACTAACCCATGCTTGTCGTAAGAGGCGACTGACGGATCGGGTGGTCAGGCTCGCTGGCTTGGTTGACACATGTCATCGGTTCCCAATTGTGCAGATCGATGCTCATACTGTTGATCACTGGATTGTCTGGTCCAGACTCGATTATTTACTGACCGCCGCCATATAGCTGGAATATTGCTGAGTGCGGCGTAAAAACTAAACTCACTCACGCACTCACTTCACTCTCACATGTGTTCTTCCCTCACATAACTCTTCACTTTCCCGTCTAATGCACCATCAATCACTGTGTACGTCTCTCTCGCCCTCCTTCTCTCTCACACGCACACACACACACCTTCTCTCTCTTTCTCTCAACAACCCCCCCCCCCTCTCTCTCTCCGAAGTTACATCTGATTACAAACACTGTGTCATTCCGATCAAATATAAAGGTCACTCGATGATAACGGTAGATTATATCCAGCACACACAGATAACGATGAAGATTAAAATGCTCAGTCACACTTTCCCTGTTAGAAATACAACGCGGGACTACACCATCTCACTTAATCACCAGTTAAAATGGAAACTGTATAAACGTCTTCATAGTTATTGTCACCATACTGAACAGATCATGGCCAGTAACGTGGCATTACCTCAGTGTAGAGTTTGCCAGACTCCGTACAAGTTTGGAGGTCCGGCCCCCTACCTACTGCCATGTCTACACTCCGTGTGTAAAGCGTGTTTGGATTCAGACATCGACGGCACGATGTCTTGCTCGATTTGCCGAGAAACCTTCTTTAAGACCGTCCGAGCCAAGGACGCGGTCACGGCCCGAGCTGTGTTTCTGGCAACAGCTAGCCAATCTGCCGCGGAACTGTTTTGCACCAACAGGGATGACGGTAACCAAGCCATATCGTGGTGCCAGGAATGTGAAGCGTTTCTCTGTCACGACTGCATGACATCCCACTCTGAAAACAAGTCAAGCAAGGACCATTCAACGGTCTCCGTTGAAGATCTGGTGAAGATAGGCAAAGATTACCGACGTAAGCAGCATTGCCAGGAACACACGACCTACCCATTGGCAATGTTTGACCACGACTGTGACGAGCTGCTGTGTCTGGCATGCAGAGTTCAAGGTCATAAAGGATGCGATGTGGGATCTATACAAGAGGTATACAATTTCCTGAAAGGGCAGACTTTACCTGAGTACATTTCAAAGCTGACTGAAAAGATGGCAGCGAACAACGCTACTGAAATTGCTCTGACGGAATTTGATGCGGAACTGGAGAGAAACCGTGCCCGAATGAAGGTGTCGATCCGACACACGTTCCAGGAGCTCCACGAGATGCTGCAGCAGAGGGAGAAGGAGATCATCCAGCGTCTGGACAAATGCCTGGATATACAGAAGAGGGAAAACTCTGAAAGTCTCGCTGAAGTTCGGCTGATGACTGAGAGGTGTGACACAGTTCTGGACTTCAACCAGAGGTGTCTGGATCTGTCCACACCATCGGATTTATTCAGTATGAAGAGGAACATAGAAGCCAGGACAACCGCTTGTACTCGGGTCAAGCTGCCGTTTGTAAGAAGCACGGATTCTTTGCCCACCTTTACAAAGAATTGGTTAGAGGATGTCAAGGCAAAGGTTGCCGCATATACTTGTGTGTCTGGGGACTATTTACCAATGGACGGATTAGAAGGTGAGACGTTGAACCAATAACTTAATGAATAAGTTCAATATTGTAATCTTTGAAATAATTATAAGCTATCTTTGAAAGTATTGTAAGCTATAACATTTGTCGTTTGCTATATAACATAAACATAAGAAAGGTAAATACCCACAACTTGCTTTTTCGGGTGGACTATTTGTAAGTCGTTGGCGAACCAGAACACTTTGCTGATAGAGTTATAAGGGTGAATTGTCATGTCCATACAGAAAACTTCCCTGATGTTGCAACAGCTCAGCGTTACAGGAGGGAAAAACAGCTTCAACACTGGAGGGTAGAGCTTCAGAAGGTATGTGCTGGCGTGCGCGTGCGTGCGTGCGTGCGTGAGTGAGTGAGTGAGTGAGTGAGTGAGTGAGTGAGTGAGTGAGTGAGTGAGTGAGTGAGTGAGTGAGTGAGTGAGTGAGTGAGTGAGTGAGTGAGTGAGTGAGTGAGTGAGTGAGTGAGTGAGTGAGTGAGTGAGTGAGTGAGTGCCCACTGTATAAAGCAGTCAAAATGAGGTGTGTGCCCACTGTATAAAGCAGTACATTCACAACGCTCTAATCATGTGATGAAACAACATGACTTCGGACGTTCCTTCCAGATTACACAGACTCGCATTGATAACACTCAAATACTGTTAATAGCGGCGTCACACTGAACTCCCTCCCTCTGTCATTGCCACGACATATATACATGTTCTCGATGCTGTCTAGGGCCATGACACGTGTGTCAGGGTGGGGTGCGTGTACCGCTGCCTACAGTCACATCACAGTGCATCAACATGACGTTAGAGTATAGCTTGAAGTGATAAAGGTCTTAGAGATGTACCACTTTAATGGCACATACAGTCACTGTTGTTGTTCTGACCTGTCCAATATTCACCGTGGCGTTGTCATGACATTGGTGATAAAATGCTGATGTGACGTTAAATGTTACCTCATCCACTCATCCAATATTGAATTCGAACACACGATCAATGGATTCACACACAGCTAGGTGCGCGACTCTGCGTAGCCTCAGATGACTTGGTGAGTGAGTGAGTGAGTGAGTGAGTACGTGTTTGGCAATATCACCGCTGGGGACCCCAGAAATTGGCTTCAAATGTTGCACCCGGGGAATTGACCTCTGGTTTTCGGCGTGGCAAGCGAACGCTTTAAGTTGCCTTTAACCACTAGGCTACCCCACCCTACGCCCTAAGTTGACTAGGTTAGTTTTGCCTTGACCTACACTTGTACAGTTTTGACTGTTGTATGTGAGGGGCGGTGGGGTAGCCTAGCCGTTAAAGTGTTCGCTCGTCACGCCGAAGACCCGGGTTCGATTCCCCAAATGTATACAACATGCGAAGCCCATTTCTGGTGTTCCCCGCCGTGACATTGCTGTGATATTGCTGGAATATTGCTAAAAGCGGCGTAAAACCAAAACTCACTCACTGTTGCATGTTTGTACTGCAGGTGGAGGCTGACATGACGGAGCTACAGCTGGTGTATGACAGAGATTTGAGACACGCCACAGAGTTGAGAAAGAACCTAGAGGTCGCACCTCTCCGTCAGTTCATATCCAGCGTGCTCAATCCTTTCAGATCACGGAGATCACAAAGCATTGCTTCATAACAGTTAACACGCACAGGATGCAGGATGAATGGAAAGGGTAGAAGCTTTCGTGAATGACAAAGGCTACAACGGAATATTCCACAGACGGACAGGCAGATGACTCTTTAACATGGCACGTAGGTCAGTATTTGGATCTTGCAGAGTGGACAGAAGTCGTTTGAATTTACCAGTTATTTTCGTTTCGTGAATAAACCTTTCATAAGAAGAAAGACGGGCAAGCAGATGTAGTCTAAACATCTCACCTAAACGACAGACATCACAGTACATGATTTAGGACGAGGATCTCATTCTGGCTCAGGATACCACTAGCAGCTGCTTCTGCCGTTGTTCAACACTGCTCTCGGCATTCGTCCACTTGTATGTGGGCATCCTGAAATAGTCGGGACTGGAAAGGGACATCCGGTGATTGACATCATGAGCACTGATCAACGATGAAAGGCATCAAACAATTCACTTGCCTGTACATACAACCCCGTTATTGGCTGTTTAACATGGGTTGCTGAAGATCAATTCTAACCCGGATCTTCCCGTGGGACAACTGCTGGTGGAGCGACAGGATACTGATAAACATGGTCTCGATCCACAAAACGTTCGTAGCGCTATGACATTCGTAAGCATATGATAAACTATAGAGTTACGACAGGTCGTAACGTTACGAACGCTTTGTGGATAGGGACCCAAGGCCCTTATTCTCGAAACGTTCGTAGCCCTAAGAATTCTTAACTTTGATCGTAGCCAGTGTGTTAAGAATGGGCTTAAGAAGTTCGTAGGGCTACGAAGGTTTCAAGAATAGCTAGCCAGGTCATTATTTTTTAGTTAACCTTTTATCCTTAGCATCGTACATGACCGCGTTTTACGTTCTATCGTGAGTGAAACGTCAACTCAGCAGAAGAATATGCTCGTTAAGCTTGTTGGTGTCCTATAGTTGCTTACAGTCTGAGCCAAGACCAATGCATGACGTTGAGTGTGAGTCTAAACCCAATTTTCGGCATGATTTTGTATATAATTGTTTGGGAGAACATAGATACAAATCATTGAAATTGATCTTTCTCCGAAACAGTTTTATGTAATGATTGCAGTGGAACCGCGTTGATCAAGGGAACGCGGTTAAAAAAATCAACTCACGTACATTGTAGCCTGGGTGTTATGTGTTTATACGTTCTGAAGGTCAGAACGGAAGCCGGTGTTTCAGGCTGAACGGGCCCGGTGTAACGAAGTCCCGTTGTACTCGTTGGATATTCTCTGACAGAATGTTTTCTGTACCTTTGTCAAAATATAGGACACTTGCCTCACTATGTCAAACAACGGTGTTATTTCATCGAGTGACCATATGGACAGCTTTACAAGTGTAGCATCATAAAGTGAACATGTCATTTTATCAGCTCGCGGGAAGAGCTAATTGCTTTTTTTCAGTAGAAAAACATGATATTCTAATTGCCTTCTATTCTTTTACTGATCTAATTTCATTCACATGAAACCATTATGAGTTTTATATTTTATCACTCATTTACCATTTCATTACTGGATATGCCATATAATTAAAAGTTAACATTTATCGATCAGTTTGACTTCATTTTGACAAAACAGTATGATTATCCTTCAGGTATGTATTTTTTGTAGGACTCTTCATTAACCGGCTGTCTTCGTGGTCTTGTCAATACAGACTCAAGCCAATTTCATCTCACTTCGCTTTGAAATTTGCTAGCCAGTCGGGCTAGCTATGCTTGAAAGTTACTAGCCCACAAAATAATTCACTAACCCGAAATTCGAATGTAGACACGGGTTTCATCATTAAACTGCTGATAAAAGTGTATTAAAGCTTAACAAGTCGGGGAGACTGATTTATTTACAAAATGACCCCATGAAAATCCACTAGCCAGTCGGGCCAGTGACTGTGAAGATTCACTGGCCCGACTGGATTCTTACTAGTCACGGGCTAGCGGGCCAGTGGCTATTTTGCACACTGCTTCGCTTCACCAACCATGACATTGCGTGTCAGAATTAGGCCGTCTACTATAAGACTGTAACTATAAGCTAACAATCTGTGGTGTGCCGGACTTAAAATCCACCCAGGAATAGCTTCATACCACCCAGGCATAGCTGTATACATCTGACTGCGGCGTACACAATATTCATTTACTTCATCATCTGTATGGGAATTATCTTCACTGCATAAAACAATTCTCGTATTTATCATTCCTTAAGAGAGTGAAATGGTCAAAACGCATATACAAAAGACATGCTTGAAATGACACTACACGCTAAAACATGAGGATGGATCCAATATCCTTATACCTTTTGTGACCCTCTCTGAAAAGACAAAATGCGAAAGCACTTACAAATTTTAGAATAAAATATCCGTTTTTCCTGACACCCTAGAAATATGTGTATTATTTTTATAGACGGCCCCTGGATATCCTCGCTAAGTGACGTGGGATGCTTTCGACGTGTGTGAATCAATTCCATGTGACACTTTGATTAGATATAAAGCCAAGGTCTACGTGTGTTCGGAACACGTGTACGCCAGCTTATCAAGCTGACCTTGTTTTCATTGATGTAGAAGTCGTGATGGGCATGTCTGCTGATGATGTTACTCGACATCTGTGCAGGGCGATGACGACAGCAAACCACGCACTGTAACCCCCTCGCTCACACTGAACATCTGTTAAGACACATGATGTACTGGGTCTTAGTCTATACTGGGGCTATATATCACGCTTGTTTAGTGCTCAGTGGTGCAGGTATGGCGCCTGTAAATAATAGAATCTGGACTAAAACCAGTGGTTGATGTTATGAGCACCGAGTCTTTGGGGTATAAATCATCTTCAAACCTCTTGACATTCAAGTCACATCACCAGAAGCATCAGTGAGTGAGTACGCTGACTGACTGACTGAGTTTGGTTCTTCTCCGCTTTTAACAATATTCCAGCAACATCACGGTGGGGACACCAGAAATGGGCTTCACACATTTTACCCATGTGGGAATTCGAACCAGGATCTTCAGCGTGACGAGCCAACGCTTTAACCACTAGGCTACCCCACCGCCCTGTTGAGTGAGTATGGTTTAACCCCGCTTTTAGCAATATTCCTGCAATATCACGACGAGAACACCCGAAATGGACTTCACACATTGTACCCATGTGGGGAATGGAACCGGGTCTTCAGCATGGCGAGCAGACGCTTTCACAATTAGCTACATCAGACCTTTGATTTTTAGATGGTGTTTAAAGTGAAACTGCTGATGAGGACTATTGGTTGCTGGCTCTTTAAATGAGCAATAACATAACAGTGTCAGACATTGCTTACAGTTTATTTTGTTACGGGCATTTAACAGTCAAAATACAAACAATTAAACAACACAAGTGGCAAAATGTCACAAGGTTAAAATCAAAATGTGTACAAACATTGGACAGACATGCCCCATTTACACAGCTGCAATCTGAAGAATGCAATTCATCAAAAAAAAGCAAGTAAAACCAATGAACCAATTTTTAAAGCCAAATAAAACATGCACTCACACAAACTGAATTCCTCTGGGAAAAAACCCAGTTAGCAGTAGTACTGTGATAGTACTGCAGGCACAGTATTCAGTCATGACCAGAGCGACTAGAGGTTGATTTTAATACAAGGTCAGCTAATGTGACCACCCAATCCTCTCATCTTATCATCCATCTAATCCTCTCACTAGTTGCCTCTTGCGACATTGATCGACTGTGAATCTGTTCTGCTCCAGAACCTCAACAGAAGGCTGGGTTTTAATGAACTTTGAACCACATACTGATCTCTTTAGAGCTGTAAGGTAATTTTAGTTGAAACTAATTCTCAGTGCCATTGTAGCCATCTAATCCCCAATTTAATCACCCTTTACAAAAAACAAACAAACATACTCTCATGAAGTGCTGTGATTTGGCCATTTAATAATAAATAAAGTCCATTTCATCAACAAATAGAGAATTTCATCCTTGTGTCTTTCTACATAGACTAAATCAGCACAAGTCAGTAAAAGCTAGATGGCATTGGAGTTTTAAACCATCAGCAATGAGTGTTAATGAATTTAAATTAAAACACACAATTGTGAGATTTCATCTACCATCCAACATCTTCATCCACATTTTTGAACTTATAAAAAGATTCTCCTGGATGTGAAACAGTACAGTTAACCCCTTCAGTGACAGAGATATCAGTGACATCATCTGACTGTGACATCACAGTAACAACTGTTATTATATAGGTAGTATTTTTCCTGTACCACGATTGGTCAAAATACCGTCACATGATTGACTACAAAACACGATATTGACTTGAGTTTTCTGATAAATTACGATATTGACTTGGGTTACTAAAAATAGACAAGGAATCCCGTACGAAGGGGCTTCCCCCGCTTTTCAGCCAATCAGATCACTCGGATAGATGGCACAGTGTGTGCATTAAAAGTTTATGTTAAAACCCGTTTCTCTTTCATTATATAATAAAACAATTATAGACTCTTGTAGAAGTCAATATCGGTTTTTATTGACCTAAGAAAAACAATATCGACCTCGCAACCTCGGTCGATATTGTTTTACTCAGGTCAATAAAAACCGATATCGACCTCTACAAGAGTCTATAATTGTATAATGTCACAATGATCTTCAGAGCAGTTATGCCAAGCAGACATGGTTTCATCCTGCTCATGCATAACATACATACACAAAAGTTCCATACCCAACAAAGCATCAACATAACCATGTCAACACAAGTGTCCAAAGTGAAGTGGAATTGGGTTCGCAGGTTCTCCATTGAGAGTTAATGTACAAAGGTGATATATGCAACAGTACTTTAAAAATATCACGGCTGTTTTTTGATTGGTTTGTTGTTTAACACTGCACTTAGCAATATTCCAGCTATATGCCGGCGGTCTGTAAATAATCGAGTCTGGACCAGATATCCAGTGATCAACATCAACGATCTACACAACTGAGACACGATGACATGTGTCAATCAAATCAGCGAGCCAGACCACCCGACCTCGTTAGTCGCCTCTTATGACAAGCATGGGTTACTGAAGACCTATGGTAACTCGGATCTTCACGGGTCTAACAAAACATTTTAACTCAACATGAAACATACAAAATTAATGCTGCATTGATAAATATCTCTTGTGACTGTGGATTGTGATGACACCCCTGATGACAAGACTGACTGACTGACTGAGTTTGGTTTTACGCCACTTTTAGCAATATTCCAGCAACACCAGAAATGGGCTTCACACATTGTGCCCATGTGGGGATTCAAACCCGGGTCTTTGGCGTGACTAGCCAACGCTTTAACCACTAGGCTACCCCACCGCCCCCCTGATGACAAGATGTTCGGCAATGTGTGGTACTGCCAGTGGTGACCATGTCTGTGAAAACACTCTGGTCATGATGTCCCAGTATGACAATATGTGATGACCATCATGACACTGAACTAGTATGACAATATGTCATGACTATCATGACACTGAACTAGTATGACAATATGTCATGACTATCATGACACTGAACTGTCATAATGCCCCAATTATAAACAATGTCATGACCTCATATTTGACAATACCAATACAACACGCAGCAATTGCGTGTTATGTCGATGTTGCCTAATTTGTTAATGTCTTCAATCATGTCAAAACTTATCTTGAATGCCAATCAACAAATTATCCATTTCTATAAATACCTGGAGACCTGGAAAGTTGGATATCGCACAAAATCCAAAGCCCAATAACAATATCCAAAGAAAATTGGCTTTTTATCGAAAAATAACAAGCCTTTAACCCTTGTAATTATCCCAACAAAACGAAGGATTTTCAACTTTAGAAAGAATAACTACCCAACATTCCAGCTCATACAGAAGAAGCTCACGGAAGTTTATAAGTTAACAAAGTATACCTCGGTCATTAATTGTAGTAGAGACAACTTAAATAAGGTTTGGTCAAACTGCCATGCTTTATTCTCCTAAATATACTGTCATGCAAAACCGTGTAAATGCTTAGAATATACCCAAAAAATTCAAAAAAAATATTTCTATAAAAAAATCGTATCACTGATCCCCTTAGATAATCTCTACTTTCTAGAATGTCAAACGACCAATTATCAATTTCTATAAAACCATATCACTGTGATCCCCTTAGACAGTCTCTCACTGCTGATCAGCCATTTGTTAATTGCTATAAAAAAAACCAATATCACTGATCCCCTTAAATAGAATCTCCTTTGAACCAATCACATTACATCCTGATGAAACCACAAATGAGTTCTATTTTATGATGAGTAAAATTCTTCATTATGACGTTACATGATGTTACATGACATGCAGAATTAAAACCTCATTCTGAGTGAGTTGGGCTTAAAAACACATTGAACAGTATATGTAGGTATGTCCCCTTCATACAGGGGGAATCGTCATATGAGCGAAATACAGGGGGAAAGCCTGAAGTAATGCTGGCGCCAGATGTTGTCCACGTTTGTGTAACCGACGAGGGCAGGTATGGCATTCACAAACCAAGAGACATTATGGTGTATAACCGGGATTAATTAACCAACAATCGTGCATTTCTGGTTTTTATCAATTAGAGAGACTGACGGATAGGTCAGCCATGACATCCCATCACTTGGGCTAGGACAAAGTGAAATGTTGCGATTCCATGACCTTGCTAAAAAACTCCTCCCATTAACTAACATGATTAAGTATCAAGCCCATACATTATCAACAATGATACAAAGTTGAACGGGTAAAAAGACGCTGCTGCAAGGTCTTGCGTTTACCTGGTTAGGGACCGTTCATAATTTACGGCTAGGGGGGGGATGATGATTTTTATGGAGTAGCATGTACAATGTGAATGACCCCTCCTAAAATATATGTACAAAGTAAGTGCCTCCCCCCCCTCCCCTGCATGTCATGTACAAAATCAATGACCCCTCCTTCCCATAATTGTAAAGCATAATTTCTTAATGTTTCTGTACAAAATTGCTGATCCCCCCGCCAGTACATGTATACAAAATTTATGACCCCCCTACCTCCCCAGAACAAAATTGGTGACACCACCCCCAAACAATAATATAAATTTAAAAAAACAAAAATCATCATCACCCCTCCTAGCCATAAATTATGAATGGTCCCTAACACATTGATAACTCATTCTTATTTAAGTGTGAAAATGAACATATATATATATACTAAGCAGCAAAAGTAACGTCAGTTTGGAATTTTCCTTCGCAGAAACGGATAACTGTAAACTCATTTAATGTTTTGATTGTAGATTTTTGACAACATTTCCAACTTTACCTGAGCAAAGACATTCCTTCCCAAACTCAGAATGGAACCCAGGAAATGGTCTCAAAAACGCAACCTGATCTTGGAGATGGTACGGTGTTCTCCATGTTTTTCATGCAACTCATGCTGCACGTGCTGTTCACAAGGACCAGCCCTATAAAAATGCACCCCCCAAACCTGGTTGAAACATTCACATTACAACGTCAGCAGGATGCCGCGACTCACGACAGCTCAGAGGACGAGGCGCTAGGAAGACTTGAAGCTGGCCACACTGCACAAGCCATTGCCAATCACTTCCAGGTCAACGTTTGGACCATCTACAGGCTGCAGCAACGTTTTTTGGCCCCCAACACCACAAATGATCGCCCCCGTACTGGCAGACCAAGGGTGACCACAAGATGACAAGACCGCCATGTTGTGCGACAGCATGTACAGAATTCCTTCATGTAGGCATCCGAAACAGCACGCCAGACAGTGGGAACACACGGAAGACCAATCAGTACTGATACAGTACGGCGACGTCTTAACAGCGGGAACCTCCATTGCCGTAGTCCTTACCGTGGACCTATCCTCACCCCTCGTCATCAGCGTTAACGTCTACAGTTTGCCCAACACCACCAAAACTGGTGATACAGGCAATGTTCACAGATGAGAGTGCGTATCAACTGCAGATGGCAGAACAAGAATATGGCGACGATGTGGCCAGCGTTACTCAGACAAATGTGTTATGGAAAGAGACTCATGGGGAGGTGCAAGCCTGAACCAGAGAGTGGGTCCCGTGGTGTTCCAAAACCTTGGTCCAGGGAGAGGAGCAGTGCGCTACATCGACCAAGCTCTCAGACCCCATGTCATACCACATTTCGCACGTCCCCGGAACAACATTTCCAGCATGATAACGCGTGGGCCCATCCTGCTAGAGCTACACGGGACTTCCTACAGCAGAACGGTGTCAACATTATGCAGTGGCCAGCCCTAAGTCCTGATTTAAACCCAATTGAACATCTTTGGGATGAAATTCAGAGGCGACTGAATAATGTCATACCAAGGCCGAACACAGCCAATTTATTGCACCAGGCCTTTCTCAGAGTGTGGTTCCTGGTGCCAATGGCCTTCATCAATCGATTGGTGCAATCCATGCATAGACGCTGTGCTGCAGTTATTGCTGCTCGTGGCGGTCACACTAGATACTGAAGTCACGAGTCTGAATGGACTGCAAACGTTCACGTAATGTCTTGGAATTGTGCTGAGTTATTCATTGATGTGTCAGGATATTGTACACAAAAAATGTTTTTGATCTGCTTTTTATGTCCATTTCTGTAATGATTTTTATTACAGTGCCTATCTAATTTTGAATTCGTACAGACGTTTCTTTTTCTGTTGAGTATATTTGAAAACTTTGATAAATACACCTCTCACTCAGCCTAGTTGGCGTATGTTCTCCTGTGGCACATGTTGATTACAGTTACACTGTTGATTTCAAACAATGACACCATGCACCGAAACTAACACTTAGTCTTTGAATGTATAGAATATTGATAGAAACAAACAATTCTTTTACATTGAAAAGGAGTCCCAGTGAGATGGGAGTTTCAGAGAAAATATAGACTTGCTTCATTGCAGGAAAGGATAAGCAGAAAGAAACTTAGGTGGTTCAGGGACTGTGAGGCAGACTAAAACACATGTAATCAGAGATGTAAATCCTTAGTAAATCCTTGAAGTACCCAGTGGGGTAAAAACCAGAGTAATTTCATCTGAAAAGAATATTTGCTATCCCTAAGTGAGATTGGCGTACATGCAATTAACCCTAGCTGTCAAAGAAGATTGACTGACAAACTGACTTGACTCAAAATCGCAACTATTACACCTAAATCATTATTAGTTGTCACCACTGTTGTTTAATGATAATTCGAAGATGCTCTGCTAAAAGATCAAATGCGTCAACAGTACTTATCAGGCGATAATGTACACTTTTTGTAGTACATGGCACTGAACTGATGTCACAACGCCATTCTAGTGTGCCCTCCATAATCAAACGCAAGCCTCCTCATGCTTTAACTATTACGGTTCAGGGAAAAACTGTACTTTATTACACCATACATGGGGTAAAGCGAAATGAATTTCTTAATCGTCCAAAACCGGTAATCAATAAACAGGAACAATAGAGACTTTCGATGATTACGTCCCCTTCGCTTAGCTGATGCCAAAGACCCATCAGAATGGTGTCTCCCGCATACTCTCTCTCTACAGACTCAGAGAAATTTCTCTGTCTTCTGCCAGGATTCCAAACTAGAAGAAAATATTCTAGAGGATCTCCCTGTCCCTTCAGAGGAATGTCTTCAGACACCTTCTCTGGATCCATATCTGGGCGACCTATCCAATCCCTTCAATTTATTCAAAAGCTGATATTCCCAGCAGATATGGGGTTTCTGTCTCCAGATGCATTAAAATATGCTCATACCATACATAATCATCTAACCTTCTTGAGGCCACTGTGAGAGAACCAGCACCTACCATTACACTTTGGCAGTGAAGCTCACCCTATTCACAGTACTCAGGGAGCAGGCTTCAACAGTACTGACTGACTGACTGAGTATGGTTTTACGCCGCTTTTAGCAATATTCCAGCAACATCACGGCGGGGGACACCAGAAATGGGCTTCACACATTATACCCATGTGGGGATTCGAACCCGGGTCTTCGGCGTGACGAGCCAACACTTTAACCACTAGGCGCTTCAACAGTAGACAGCAGACAAAACACAAAGCTACTTTTTGATTTCACCATGTTACAAACAATATTCACATTATTGATCATCATAAATATATCCATGGCATGAAATTACATGAAACAGATAGAGTGAAAACATTTCATCTATGTGAATGAAACCCATGTTATTTACAAATGACTGGCTCATCCAACTCATACAATGCTTGAAGATTCTTCATAAAATACTCCATTCAATCACAGCATTACCAAAAGTTAAACAGTAATGCACTTAAAATGCGAATCAAGTATATACCATGTTCTCAGTCACACTGGAGATATTTTATAGACAGTCTTTCTCCATCGTCTTCTCCGCTCTCGTCGCACTCCCCTTCTTCCTTCTCCTCCTCTGCAGAAGACATCTCCTCGTTTTCCTTGTCCACAACCATGTGCTTCTCCTCCCCACTCTCTTCCTGATCATCTTCTTCCTCAGACCCCCCCTGTCCTTCAGATTCCTCACTCCTGCCCTCTATACTACCCCGAACACTACTGCTGATGCTCCCCGCCCTGCTCCCTGGAACACTTCCCTCCCCACTGTCCTCGTCTGACTGGTCCTTCTGTTCAACGTGGTCCATTCCCTCACTAACACTCTCCTGCTCCTGGTCGTCTTCTTCACCTTCCTGCCTCCCTTCACCAACATCCTCTTCCTCCTCTGATACTTCCCTCTGCTGCACATGGTCCATTCCAGCAGAAACATCCTCACACCCGCTGCCCTGGTCCACCTCCTGCCCATCACTGTCCCCATCACCTTGACCATCTAGATCTGTTCCACTTCCGTTGCTCGGTACCATCATCCCCCTATTCTTCTCATCCCTACACTCGGTCCGATCATTGCTATCCTGCAGCTCCATTCCATCCTCATTATGTTCTGTCCAATCCCTACCTTGTTCTGTACTGTCCTTACCGGCCTCACTATCCTTACGATGTTTAGTTCTCTTCTCATTCTTATGATCACTCCGATGGCCTGTCCGCTTCCTTTTCCCCCTTGTCTTCTGGCAAGTCTGTTTTCGTCCACGTTTCCCGAGTCGTTTCTCCTCCAGCTTGACTAGCCTTCGAAGCAGCCTCAGTTTTTCCTGTTCCACACATAATCTCCGTCGCTCCACTGAGAGTCGCTTTCGTTCTACTCTCAGTCGCTGGTGGCCGATGTCCGCTGTGATGTGGCTAACTGTAGATGCTGTGTCCGCACTGTCTTCTTGAGAAAGTTTTGATTTCTGAAAGAGCAGGACAGTCAATATAACATCAGATACTGGCATGGCTAGATATTAGCAAAAGGACAGAGCTTGCATTTGGAGCAGATTAACATTAGAAGTATTATCTAAGCCACCAACATAACTGGTGTACAAAATCTTTCATGCTTCCAGAAACAGAACCACTACTTCTTAAAAAACTTAAGGATTATCAAATTAAATAACTGTGTTGCAAGTGCATGCAGAAATAAGTTTGTTCCTTGCGATCAGCAATATTCCAGCTATATCAATATAGTAATCTGTAAATAATTAAGTTTATACCAAACAATCCAGTGTTTGACATCAAGAGCACTGATCTTCACAGTTGGGCTGCAATGACAAACCTCAACCTAGTCTGACCACCCAATCCCTTTAGTTACCTCTATGGACAAGCATGGGTTACTGAAGGCCAAATTCTAACCTGGATCATCACTGGGGCTTTACCAAGTTTTTATATTATTTTATATTTACCTTGGGACTGCACGAGTCAGCTTGTGACACCACAGACTCAATTTTCCACCCATTGACTTGTTCCTCAGGGACACAGACACTGTCCTTCTCATTATTCTTTGACGGTTTGTCGAGTCTCACTTCATAATTATGGTCAATAGCAGCGTAATTTGCTATCTCACAAGTGTCCCCATCAGTAATCTCTAACACCCGCCAGTCATTCCTTGTCAGAATATTAGGAGCTGACTTAATGTTATCCCTGATCTTATCAGTTGAAATTGACACAACTTGAGGTTTGTCGCCGCCATCGTTGGAATTAGAAGCATCCTCGTTAGACAGCTTCGTATTCATATTCGCCCCATGATCGGCTGGCTCCTCAACACCTACAATGTCGTCACTGTCCGCTTGTGTTGCCATGTCAGATTTCTCAGCCTCAGTCTGACCTCCATTTGTGCCGAGGATCGACAACAATTTTGAATGTGATTTGAAAAAATTTGGTGATTCTGATTTTTCACAGTCGATTTCACCAGTGTCAAACTCATCACCATTTTCAGTCATCTGGTTTACTTTCAGCTGCTCCAGCAAACTCTCTTGCAAAGCACGTTTCTTCTTGGCCGTGGACTGAAGATCGTACCACTTCTTTTTAACTTCGTCAACACTACGTTGGACGCCAGCACGCACACTGTTCACTCTGGCTGTGATTTCTTTCCACCTACATCTCTTTTTGTCATTTACAGCTGCAGCCGTCAGTTTGGACAAAAGCAGGGACTTGTTTTTCTTCACCTCGTCCAACAAAACTGACGTTTCCTGACAGGAGAACTTGCCCTTTCTTCTTCGCGGAATATGAACTGTTCAGGGGCCTCCTGTGTCTGTCAAGGAATTAAGATGAGCAATTAAGAACATAAAAACATGTTATTGTAAATGTTACAATAAACTGTATATTCATGAATACTTATCGTGTCTCTCACTGAGCTATTCTCTTTATTCTTCCAAACAATGTCTGACCCGTTTCCAGATTAATAAATACACCTCACTCGAACACATCTCTGTTGGCGCCATAGAGCCCATTGTTGTACTGACGGCTCAGTCAGCTCTTGTGCCCATTGTGTCCATGGTAACCAGGCTTGAGTACAGGGCAGTGGAGATGGATGGGTGGGAGTTTTTCTTGTGCGATAGGATAAGTAATCGCAACTGCACAATCTATTATAAAATTTACTAACCTTCAAAAAACTTATCTTTAACTGTGCATTTATGCAAAGGTAGGTAGGAACAGGACAATGTCTTGAATGTGTTGGGAAAACTTGTAAAGGGTATGATTGGAATTTGAAGATTATCCCGAGACCACTTGCAGCTAACTATACACTATGATCAGCCCATATTTCCTCATCTGCTTCTCTACCAAACATTTTGACTGTCAAGATATCACATCAGTTAACTATTCATGTCCACTTATCACTGTTAAAAACAAACATAAAAATGCCTCGTCTCACAAGTTACTGAAGCTGGTATTTTAATTATTGTACAAACTTCATGATAACAATGGTTCAAGCATCTGTATCGAAACATCGCACTCACGAAATAAAGAAGTTGTTATCCATAAAGTTCTATATTTTACATCCCTGCTTCTAAAATGCCACTCAAAGATGGTAATTTCATGTCTTAATATAACATGAAATCTTTAGCACTGTGTAGTGTGTACAACCTTTATAAAACTATGAGATATTGAATTAAAGAAAACTCATGACATATGCTCACAATAACATCATGACATGCAAAGATTGACTTAAAAACATAACATGACAAAAAAACAAACAAAAAAACACCACCTATACACGATTACATATCTGATTCATACTCGCAATGTATGCCTGAAATGGTATATTCTTATTATCCTGGTCAATGGATCACTGTGCACTATTATTATTCTCAGCTCCCTGGGGAATATACAAGAAGGTTCACAGTCACAATACCATATAATACTATTGAGCACTTATTCTCTTCAGGATGAACAGAGGCATATTTTAAACAAAACTGCTTGTCGAGGGAAACACCTCGTGTGCTAGTAATTTTAAGGGTGCTTTAATCATTTACCAACCTGGCAATCCTGACTATTACTGTCAAAGTCAACATTGTTCCCAGTGTCCACATGTCCCCGCCTATCTTTGTGTCCTTTGTCTCTGGGACCATCACCGGGTGTAGATGACAGATCGTGACTGTCCATGCTTGAAAACACCCGCTCGTCTATACTGGCCACGTTTTCTATTACAAGTGGCGAGTCGACCGTCGTTGGCGCTGCTGGAGGTTCCTTCTTCAAGTTGATGACATCGACGACTTTCTTCACACCAATGTGGTGGCCATCTTCAACTTGTACAATAATAATGCCACTGTCCAGATTGTCTCCTTCTGGGTCGGTGTCGTCCCCGGGGGAATTGGGGAGGCTGCACTTGTGCTTTTCTTCATCATAAACTTCATCATCTGAATGTGGATTTTCCGGATGGGCATCCTGCAAATTGTCACAGTGCTTCTGACATTGATCTGAGACACTTTTAATCTTTTGAATTTTACTTATTTTACAAAAGAGGTGAAGTTTGCGTTTAGGGATACGTCCATGCAACAAGCCAAGGGAGTTAACTATATTGATTGGGACATGGAAACCTCAAACATATTTCAGATAACTCAAAAAGACTTAAGAACATTCAAATAAGACCTAGAGCAATCAAAAAGAATTTACGGAATGCACTAAGAGACATTAAAAAGAACGTAGGAAACAAAAATATAGCAGTCGAAAGTAACCACTACAACTGAATGCCTGCAGATGAAAAACTGGTAATCATTTTATTTTTTCTACTGCTATTTTCTTGTGGACACTTACATGTTTTGTGGCGGCCATCCCTTCTTGTTTAAGCTGGAATTCACAAATAAAATAGAAATGACGTAATAATCAGAAAGATTCAAATTACTGCATCTAACTTGACTGACATATATAACATAAAATCTAACAGATACTCTGCATCTCTGTTTGGTTTAAACATATTTTTATTCCGTCAATAGAGAAACCTGGATAGGCGAACAAGCCAACTGGCTTATATAAACGCCGCTCCAGTACACGGTTCCAATATAGCTGGATACATATTTGAAATAGTCCGACAAGAAAAGAATACTACTGAAACAAAATTACACTCAGAAAAATGATTGAATAATAAATATTTGGTTATGGTGTTGGTTGTGCCTATGCCGCGAATAAGTTATATCTTGTCTTGCATTGAATATACATGTATATGTAGAGGTAATAATCACTGGAAGCCTTACTTTTAGAAATGAACTGGTGTAATGAGTTGAGAATGTCTGCAATTTGTTGAGTTATCCAATGCACCGATAAATTTTCACATCGTAAGAATATAAAAATAAATCGTTGTTCTTAAATTTTGATAGTTCCGACATGTAAAAGGTAGTGAATGATGTCTTCGTTATAATGACCACATGAACACTTAGCTGTTTCTGATATATGTCGATTATATCTGTCTGCGTTCAGATCACTACAGCCGAGCTTGTGGCGACAATGGATGATTTGACAAAATCTAGTCCCAAAATTTAAATCAAAGCAGTTGTCAGTTTCTGTTGGATTTATCATGGTTTTAAACTGCCTCACGAAATATAGCGTTTACAGCTCCATAGGGCAAGGAATTCCACGACATAATCGCTTTCGGTAAAATGACTGAGAAAATCTTTGGGTTCTACAGTTAGTAGTTTGAATGGAAGTACTATCTCTAAGATTATAGTTGCTTTGTTGAAATACTCTACCTGGTACAAGATCATTCAGATAATCAGGAGTCAGGCGATGAACATAAGTTTAGAGCGATATCTGTCTTTGTTTCAGGGTTATAGAAAGTTATAAGTTTAGGTGCCATATCAAGTATCTTTTGTTTCAGTGTGCTATAATTAGTTTCCTTGTATGTTTTATCATGACTTGGTGCCCAGGATGTATGAGGCAATGAAGTATCTCTGCTTGAATGTCAAGACAACACTTCATGTTGTGTTCCACACATGTATGTTGTGTTCCACACATGTACTTGGTGCAGATACCAGGATGTATGAGGCAATGAGCGAGCATGTTGTGTTCTACAGATGTACTTGGTGCAGATACCAAGATGTATGAGGCAATGAGCGAGCATGTTGTGTTCTACAGATGTACTTGGTGCAGATACCAGGATGTATGAGGCAATGAGTGAGTATGTTGTGTTCTACAGATGTACTTGGTGCAGATACCAAGATGTATGAGGCAATGAGGGAGCATGTTGTGTTCTACATATGTACTTGGTGTAGATACCAGGATGTATGAAGCAATGAGCGAGCATGTTGTGTTCTACAGATGTACTTGGTGCAGATACCAGGATGTATGAGGCAATGAGCGAGCATGTTGTGTTCTACAGATGTACTTGGTGCAGATACCAGGATGTATGAGGCAATGAGCAAGCATGTTGTGTTCTACAGATGTACTTGGTGCAGATACCAGGATGTATGAGGCAAAGAGTGAGCATGTTGTGTTCTACAGATGTACTTGGTGCAGATACCAGGATGTATGAGGCAATGAGCGAGCATGTTGTGTTCTACAGATGTACTTGGTGCAGATATCAGGATGTATGAGGCAATGAGCGAGCATGTTGTGTTCTACAGATGTACTTGGTGCAGATACCAGGATGTATGAGGCAATGAGTGAGCATGTTGTGTTCTACAGATGTACTTGGTGCAGATATCAGGATGTATGAGGCAATGAGCGAGCATGTTGTGTTCTACAGATGTACTTGGTGCAGATATCAGGATGTATGAGGCAATGAGCGAGCATGTTGTGTTCTACAGATGTACTTGGTGCAGATACCACGGTGTTTAAGGCAATGAGTGAGCATGTTGTGTTCTACAGATGTACTTGGTGCAGATACCACGGTGAATAAGGCAATGAGTGAGCATGTTGTTTTACGTTGCATAAAGCAATATTCCAGCAATATCAGACACCAGAGTTAGTCAGTTTAGTTTCACACATTGTACCCATGTAGGGAATCGAACCCGTGTCTTCGGTGTGAAGAGTGAATGCTTTAACCACTAGGCTATCCCACTGTCCCCACACCAGAAACAGGCTTCCCACATTGTACTCATCTTAGAGTGATTGGCAGTATACATCCCCTAATTACCACAGAATCTGCTCATTCCCTTGTCCATGCTTTAATTCTCAGCAGACTAGATTATTGTAACAGTCTCTTGGACTCCCTGACACTCTACTTGACAGACTACAAAAAGTCCAAAATACAGCCACCCGCATCGTCAGCCGTACTTCCAAACACAGTCACATTACCCCAGTTCTAAAGCAGCTCCACTGGTTACCTGTGAGAGCCAGGATTCAATTCAAGACACTCTGCCTCACATACAAGTCCCTTCACGGCCAGGCTCCACCCTACATTGGAGATCTGATCAACCCCTACAGTCCATCACGCGAACTTCGTTCACAGCAGCAAAACCTTCTGACAGTGCCGAACTACAAACTTAAAACCTTTGGATACAGAACTTGTCTGTCTTGTGAAACTCTATCCCATTTGACCTCAAACACTCTGAATCTCTGGACTCTTTTAAATCAAATCTCAAAACCTACCTCTTTGCTAAATATTACCCTCAATAGCCTTTATTGTTTATGTATTATGCACCTATTCATTGTAGTTTTCTTTCTTTGTATATATAATGTATTTATTTTAAGGTACTTATGTAGCGCCAAGAGCATGCTTCTGAGCGTGGATATATGCTCGTTATAAATATGCACTATTATTATTATTATGTGGGGAGTTGAACCCTCGTCTTCAGCATGACGAGTGCTTTAACCACTAGGCTACCCCCCTTCCCCCTAAAAGCAACTAAAAGTAAAAAGGATTGCTGCACTCCCTTAAGTTATTTCCTAAAGACCTCTCAAAATAAATTTATAAAAGCATGTTTAAAATATCAATTTTCCATAATTGTGGATAGATAAATATATCATTGTGGTTAGATAAATATATCATTGTGGATAGATAAATATATCATTGTGGACCGATAAATATATCATTGTGGATAGATAAATATATCATTGTGGTTAGATAAACATATCATTGTGGTTGGATAAATATATCATTGTGGTTGTTATCATTGTGGTTGGATAAATATATCATTGTGGTTAGATAAATATATCATTGTGGATAGATAAATATGTCATTGTGGTTAGATAAATATATCATTGTGGTTAAATAAATTGTGGTTAGATAAATATATCATTGTGGTTAGATAAATATATCATTATGGTTAGATAAATATATCATTGTGGATAGATAAATATATCATTGCGGTTAGATCAATATATCATTGTGGATAGATAAATATATCATTGTGGATAGATAAATATATCATTGTGGTTAGATAAATATATCATTGTGGTTAGATAAATTGTGGTTAGATAAATATATCATTGTGGTTAGATAAATATATCATTGTGGATAGATAAATATATCATTGTGGTTAGATAAATATATCATTGTGGTTAGATAAATATATCATTGTGGTTAGATAGATAAATAAATCATTGTGGTTAAATAAATATATCATTGTGGATAGATAAATATATCATTGTGGTTAGATAAATATATCATTGTGGTTAGATAAATATATCATTGTGGTTAGATAAATATATCATTGTGGTTAGATAAATATATCATTGTGGTTAGATAGATAAATATATCATTGTGGTTAAATAAATATATCATTGTGGATAGATAAATATATCATTGTGGATAGATAAATATATCATTGTGGATAGATAAATATATCATTGTGGTTAGATAAATATATCATTGTGGATAGATAAATATATCATTGTGGTTAGATAAATATATCATTGTGGTTAGATAAATATATCATTGTGGATAGATAAATATATCATTGTGGTTAGATAATTATATCATTGTGGATAGATAAATATATCATTGTGGTCAGATAAATATATCATTGTGGTTAGATAAATATATCATTTTGGTTAGATAAATATATCATTGTGGATAGATAAATATATCATTGTGGATAGATAAATATATCATTGTGGATAGATATCATTGTGGATAGATAAATATATCATTGTGGATAGATAAATATATCATTGTGGTTAGAGATTAACAAAGCAACTGTTGCAACAGAAGAGTCATAATATTTTATTCCTAAAAATTGGACAAAAAAGCTCCCATAGCATACATGCTATTAGCCTAAAACTTATACGAGAGTCATGTTTGGGACTTATTAATCTAATTTAATCATCACTGCTGGCCTCATTGTCCTTGTAATCATTACTTTTAGGCCAGGCTTCCATTTGTTTTCTTACCCCCTGTTATTAGTGTTATATGCCACTATTGTTACCTCATCAACTATGAGGGGCGGTGGGGTAGCCTAGTGGTTAAAGCGTTGGCTCGTCACGCCGAAGACCCGGGTTCGAATCCCCACATGGGTACATTGTGTGAAGCCCATTTCTGGTGTCCCCCGCCGTGATGTTGCTGGAATATTGCTAAAAGCGGTGTAAAACCAAACTCAGTCAGTCAGTCAGTCAGCCATCAACTATGCCTGGATTAACAATCCCTGGCTTCCACTTGTCCTTCCACCAAGTTAGTGCTAATTATATCCCCACCTGGCTTCTATTTGTTTTTCTTATCGCTTGTTAAATTGCCACCTTTGTTATCTTAATCATGCCTGGATTAACAATCCCTGGCTTCCACTTGTCCATCTACCAATTAACTACCGGTTTCCCTTCTTATCTCATAACTGTTGTTGTTTTAACATGTACATATACAGCTGTCTGTTCCTAATTGTTTCATTCACCTGATGAAGGAGTAAGAATATACTTCGAAACGTTGTGACCCTTCACAATAAAGAAGTTGACATCCATAAAATTCTTGCCTTTTTTGTCATGTTTGTTGTTGAAAACTGCAGTCAGTAAATACTCAAGTATGGAGCAGACAATCCAGTGCCTGATGTATATGCAGTGTCCATTACTTCAAGGAATGAAGAGAATAATCAACCTCCTGTGACTGCCCACTTCACAGTCGGGCAATGGGTTATTTCAACCCCTGACAGACACTCATACATGTGCTCGCACACATGCACGCATGCATGCACACATACACACACACACATGCACACTCTAACTGCAACATGTCATGCCATGTTAAACCCCCTCAATGCCTCCTACCTTGCCTCCCTCCTTCCCTCCAAACATGGACACCTCGAAGTCTTCATCTGCCCGCTGCTGCTCCTCATCCTTCTGCTTGACGATGGACAGCACTCGACGGTTCACTCTATCAATTTCCGATTCACACCCTGGGTCATCATTTTCACCGGCCTCTATTTTCACTCGGAACTTACTTGCTCTTGTGAACAAGTCACTCCATTTCTTACGGACTTCGTTTAAAGTTCGAACTTCCTTGTTACAGCAAACTTTTTGGACTCTTTCGGCGACTTTCGCCCACTCTCTCCGTTTCTTTTCAGCGGTCCTCCGGTCCAAGTTTGGTGAAAAGATGATCCTCCTTCGTTTGTGTATTTCGTCCAGTAGAGCACTAGTTTCCGCTGTACTGAAGTTTACTTTCCTTGTCTTGGATGAAGCCTGCTTCCTCCGACTCACAGGTGTCCACTGAAAAATATACTATATATCATGTGAGGAAATGTGCCTGAATTAGAACAAGGGTAGCCTCTATAGCAAGCTTTACATGAACTGGATCCTCAAACCTCGATCTCATAAACATCTTACCTTAGTCCTAACTACCACTACAAGAAACAACAAATAAAGCACCTCTCATAACCAGGGTCCTTAATGCTAAGAAAACCCTACCGCCATTACTTCAGCACAGTGTAATAGATTAAATATATAACAGACTGTATATACTAGCCCAGTAGCCAGATGTAGGAATACCACTGCTATCAGATAGTGTAATAACAAGTCTTCATTTGTATCCTTCAGGTATCATCAAAATTTGTTGACATGCCATGTTCTTTATAATAGTTAGGACAGATATACAAATACCATGTTATCATCAGATAGCGAAATAACAGGACTTTATTATAGTACTGTCGGAAATAGAAAAAAATGTTTTTAGGCTGTTACTCTGTATCCCTAAAATTGACACAATTGCAAATAGCATATGTCGAAATAACCCACTTCGGCCTAACTGGGCGTTCAGTGGGATGCGTATTACGATATCCAGAAAAGCATGTTTACTCGTAAAATCGGGCAAAACTTAGAAAAAATACGAATAGCTGCTGAAAACAATAGATCAGACTATACATGGCAACGAGGTCGCTCAGCCAGGTATGACGACAGGCACAAGGGGTCATCTCAAAGATATTTTGTGCTTTTTCATGTGTGCTGACTATGTCTCATCTACTGATTAACATCTTACGTGTCTTTCTTTCATAAAGTTTATGTTGAGATATGTAAGAGAGTATGATACCCGAAAACCATAGAAACGCATTTTAGTATATAGGTGGCATGACCACCCGAAGATCGACAGGACTTGATATTATTTGTAAATTGTTATGACATGCCGTGTACCTCCCCAGTATAATTGCCCTAAAGGATTATCTTATCTTAGCTGATATCTCTATCCCCATGCCGACCCCAGGTTTTGCTTTTGAGGCGACCCCTCCTATCTGTTTCTTTTTATAGTGACAGTGAGACTGCATGGTAGCTACATCCTTAATAGTTTCGGCATAAAAGTTATTATTTTTTACGTCAGCTATCGTTTATCATGAATCTACGTCTAATTTCAAATTGGGCATTTACAAAGTGTCCTTTGTAATACAATATCGTCGCACACTAATTTGCATAAAGCCATGGTCTGTTCCGCATAAGTCTTTTTGGACTTAGAAAAAAACCGCATTGCTCATTTCTGCACTAATTTCACCTCAGTAAAGTCCTTTTTCTCCGTTTCCTATCTCTCTACCACTGAGACTGTAGTTAGGCCGAACTTAGTTTAACAGATATTTCACACTTTCACATATCAACTACATAAATTGAGATAAATGAGAAAATACAGTTTTTCTATTTCCGACAGTACTATTGTATTTTTTCACATTCTGTCCAATAAAAGGAAGGGTTAATTCCAACCTCGCTGCAGTTGCTGTCATTGTCATCATCAGCTTCCTCCTCTTCTTCAATCAGATCAATCTCATCCCGCTGATCATCATCGTTCATGCTGGAAGCCAGGACACGCTCCATGATGTCATGGTCGATACTGTTGCCGTCTTCAGTTCCCTCAAAGCTGATATTTGTCTGCAGAAGTATTCAGTATTTTTAATTACATATGAAATCCCTGTGTCGAAGTGGGGTGTCTCTAAACACTGGTTGTGTCAAATTGGGGTGTGTCTAAACATTGGTTGTGTCAAACTGGGGTGTGTCTATACATTGGTTGTGTCAAACTGGGGTGTGTCTAAACATTGGTTGTGTTTAACTGGGGTGTGCCTTAACATTGGTTGTGTCAAACTAGGGTGTGTCTAAACACTGGTTGTGTCAAACTTGGGTGTGTCTAAACACTGGTTGTGTCAAACTGGAGTGTGTCTAAACATTGGTTGTGCCAAACTTGGGTGTGTCTAAACATTGGTTGTGTCAAACTGGGGTGTGTCTAAACATTTGTTGTGTCAAACTGGGATGTGTCTAAACACTGGTTGTGTCAAACTGGAGTGTGTCTAAACATTGGTTGTGTCAAACTGGGGTGTGTCTAAACATTGGTTGTGTCAAATTGTGGTGTGTCTAAACATTGGTTGTGTCAAACTGGTGCGTGTCTAAACATTGGTTGCGTCAAATTTGGGTGTGTCTTAACATTGGTTGTGTCTTAACATTGGTTGTGTCAAATTGGGGTGTGTCTAAACATTGGTTGTGTGAAACATTGGTTGTGTCTAAACATTGGTTGTGTCAAACTGGGACATGTCAAAACATTGGTTGTGTCAAACCAGGGCACCTCTAAACATTGGTTGTGTCAAACTGGGGTGTGTCTTCACTTAAGTTGTGTCAAACCAGGGTGCATCTAAAGATTGGTTGTGTCAAATTGGGGTGTGTCTAAACATTGGTTGTGTCAAACTGGGGTGCATCTCAACACTGGTTGTGTCAAACTGGGGCGTGTTTAAACATTGGTTGTGTCAAACTGGGGTGTTTCTAAACATTGGTTGTGTCAAACTGGGGTGCACCCAAGCATTAGTTGTGTCAAACTGGGGTGTGTCTAAACATTGGTTGTGCCACATTGGGGTGTGTCTTAACACTGGTTGTGTCAAACTGGGGTGTTTCTAAAAATTGGTTGTGTCAAACTGGGGTGCATCCAAGCATTGGTTGTGTCAAACTGGGATGTGTCTAAACATTGGTTGTGTCACATTGGGGTGTGTCTAAACACTGGCTGTGTCAAACTGGGATGTGTCTAAACACTGGTTGTGTCAAACTGGAGTGTGTCTAAACACTGGTTGCGTCAAACTGGAGTGTGTCTAAACATTGGTTGTGTCAAATTGGGGTGTGTCTAAACATTGGTTGTGTCAAACAGGGGTGTGTCTAAACACTGGTTGTGTCAAACTGGAGTGTGTCTAAACATTGGTTGTGTCAAATTGGGGTGTGTCTAAACATTGGTTGTGTCAAACTGGGATGTGTCTAAACACTGGTTGTGTCTAAACATTGTTTTTTTGGCTGTTACTCAGTCTCCCTAAAATTTACACAATCGCAAATAGCATATATAAACTATATTTCACATATTAACTACATAAATTGTAGATATAAATGCGAAAAAACAGTTTTTGTCTATTTCCAACAGTACTTTAGTGGGACATTTGCCATTGTAGATAGAAATAACAAGGGAGACAATTCATTCACTCCATAATTTTAATGATTTTATCATTCAATTATAGCTGTTGAGTTGTTAATTGAAACACTGTTAATTCAATGAGATGACCATAAAAGTTATTAACTTGTAACTTTATATCTCAGTGACTGTCTGTTTTAATTTCAAATTAGTAGACATATTTTGACTTTCACCCTAGGATATAAAACTTGCCATTTTGTTTGGAAAGAACATGACTGGGATGTCTTGCTCTCAGATTCAACATCCACTATGGTGGCTGTGTCATTGACATTAAATGTTTCCGTTGCAATTTCTTAATTACAATTGCCATTATTTGACCCTGCAATGAATCTTCTGTCACTTTTTGATCTTTTTGTTTGGAAAAATGAAAGTATTCACGACTGTCGCTTCACAGCAGAAGGCGATTTTGCCCCCGACATTTTGTTTCAATAACTACCTTCAAATTCAGTTACCACCATTCGATATATTGAGGATACTAAACGACCCTCCGTGTAATACCATTTTCAGAAAAACGAGTTAATGATTCGATACTAAATCTTTCACGAGTTTAATAAAAATTGCATTTCATGGTAGCAAGATTAGTATTCTGCTTATTACTCTCCAACATAAATTGATAGAAATTGCCTACATAAAGGTGATGCTCAGCTTTCTGCAAGTCAAGCAAGGTCTAGACTCTAATACCATTGTGACAGAGATATTAGCAGAGATAATTGTAAACCATTATGACGTCATACGTCTAGCGGTATTACACTAGTGTTATATTGCCGTAAAAATATTACACCGCAGTATCTTCCACAGGCGAGTAATAAAGAAAATTACTGCTAAGGGGCGTAACTCTTAATATATAGCCACACAGCATGACTTGAATAAGCTACATATCATAAGCTCCATGCACTGATTTAGGCACCACACTGTTGGAAAGCATGTATAGCGCTGTGAGGATTACGAATGCCGATTGATTGCTAGAAAATGTGAAAACAAGTTGAAAATATTGGCAAGTTTGGCAGAGTATGTGTATGCATGATTGTTATGAGTCATTGGATTTTTATGGTGCGCCAACCGGACCCACAAGGTCAAGGAATAGTGCGTCATTTTTTACTACTATATGTCAGTGGTGCAAGGGCGCGGTCTAACATAGACTCTGGAGCTGCGGATAATTTCTTCATAAAAACTGATCAAAACGAAAACTTGAAACAGCACATCCCTGAGTAGCTAGACCATACCTCATCCAGCCGATCTAGCTCCATGTCCTCAACTCCTTGGGGAGTATCCCGGCCTTGCATACTGTCCGAGTTGGAGGCCGACTCCAGTAGCAGGGTCTCCATCTTCCTCCTCTTCTTCCGCCGAGCCAGACTCTGCATGTCGTTCCACTTCTTCCTCACTTCTTCCACTGTGCGGTAACTTCCTCTTCCTTTCTCGTTTACTTTCTTTGTGACCTCATCCCATGCAACTCTCTTCTTCTCATGGGTCACAGTGTCATTGTACTTAGCCAGAATGATCTTGCGCCACCTCTTAACTTCTTCCAGAAGAGTGTTCCTCTCAAGAATGCTGAAGTTGCTTTTCCTTTTGCGAGATGTCATGTCAAATGGAATCGGCGTCTGCAAATGAAGAGGCAAACATATGACTGGATCTGCTGAATTGTTTTCTTAGACAATCTAAACATGCTAAAGTTAGACCTGCTACAACCAACAGTATTCACTATGTCGCTATTGTTACTACATGTGACTGAGTGATCGACTGGGATAATATACTCATGGACTGACTGACTGACTGAGTATGGTTTTACGCCGCTTTTAGCAATATTCCAGCAATGTCCCATGGCGGTGGACACCAGAAATGGGCTTCACTCATTTTACCCATGTGGGGATTCGAACCCGGGTCTTCGGCGTGACGACCAACGCTTTAACTACTCGACTACCCCACCGCCCCTATACTCATGGAAACGAGTAAGGGAAAACATGAACGTACAAGAAACCTGGAAAAGAGTATTGGAACACTTGTACTTTCATGTGTTTATTATTCGTTTCGATGAGTATATCGCTCTCTCTCAAGACACATGAAACACAATGCCATGAAGTGACAAATACTTTCAAATCCTCTGCAAGTTCAATCACCAACCACATGTGTCGTCTATTTAAGAAGGTAATAGTTTAATAGTTTTGTAACCACTAGACATAAACCACTAGATAAAACAACAAACATTATAGGCAACGCCATGTCTTCAGAAACACTGTCTTGTCCTCAGATAGACTTAAACTGGGCAGTTTTCAAGATATTGAAAACTGAATGCAATAATATAAAAAATTAATAAGCAACTTTGGAGCTATTCGTTGTTCCAAACTAAAAATCGACATTATCTTCATAAATTGTAATTGGTTAAATGCAGAAAAGTAAACTTTTCTTAAACTAACTTATTATCATTCAATCTTTTTGGGGTATACATTTCAAATAATGATACAGTTAGTATTTAACATGAGCCTAACAACAAAAATTCTAGGAAAAATAGGACTAGCTCATTTCAATCCAATCGAAGCGATCGAAATATCTGTTACTAGGATGAAATGTTCCTTGTGGTTGTTTCTGATGTTATGGTAATGTTTCTATTACCCAGTTGTAAGCCTGTCTTATCAAATACAGAGTGACATTACTTTGTACACTTTGAAACGTGACTAATATTCATAACAAAACAGTAAGTGATGATGTCAAGTTTTTATTTAGAAATGAAATGTTCGTTACATTGTTACTTCCTATTTCAGATGGCTCTCAATATTAACATCATTAAGCCTGTGGCGGTTCTCTCAATTCAAGAGACATCATCAAGTCACATGATTATTGCAAGAATAGTATCAGAACAAGCCCTAGTTTCGAATACCCTGGTAACAAACATTTCAGTAACGGAGATTACATACTCTGACAAATCAAGCAGTAAGTTCCCATTAACCACACACAAGCTATGAATATTTTTTTACTTTTCCCATCTGACATACTTCATGTTCTACATGTAAGTTAAACTTTGTGAAAAAGAGCACAATTCCCTAATTTGGCAGTGGTAACGGACATTTAACTCTTATTTCTATGCATGTGGAATATTTTCTGTGTATTGTGATATGTCATGCAGAGAGATATTCTAAGCCCCAAATAATGACAAATACCATTAATGTAAACATAAATTGTATTCATTCGAAACAAATAGGTAAGGTTATGCTTTGTTCTACACATGTACATGTTAAGCTGAAAATTAGTCACGGACATTTCCTCAAAACTGGCGACATGGCATTAGTTCAAACTTATTTAACTAAAAAAGAATGCATTGGCTTAACAATTTTGCAGAAAATGATACTTTTGACCAATCAATGTCCTAATGTACTAACATCCAGGTATTTGCATACCAAGCTGCGTTAGGTTTAACTGCAAAGTAAGGTATTGCTACTGGCAAAAGTAACGAACATTTCAAATTGACCTAACCGCCTCCGTGGTGTAGTGGTTAGAGCATTCGCCCGGAGAGCGGAAGGTCGCGGGTTCGATCCCCGACCGCGTCATACCAAAAGACGTTAAAATATGGTACTTGTTGGTCCCTGCCTGGCGCTCGGCATTAATGGGTACATCAAAGGACTGGTCGGCTCGGGAGTCAGTATAATGTGTCTGAGTGGGGTATTCATGCTTCACTGCGGCATGGTATCTCAGTGAGCTAGCACTATAAAACCAGCTTCAGTCTGGGCTAGTACAAGCAGCCGCACTTACACATACACACGCATGCACGTCGTCATATGAGCGAAATATTCTCAAGTACGATGTTAAACCCAATTTCACCTCACCTCACCTCAAATTGACCTATTACCGTAACTGTAACAAATACACATGTAAGATATTGGACTGTTTATGTAAGATGGATGTTGGCCAGGTTGGCATCATCATAAAACCATACTGATAATAACATTTGCTATTTAAGTTTAAGAGAAGCATGGCGGCGACAGCATATGCACCCCGTTATTGAGAATGAGTGATACATCTAATAAGGCTGTTTGTGCAGATTGTAGACCACCTTAGATAGACATTTTATGTATGCAAGATGGCCTACCATCTCATAGACCAAAGGTGTGATCTACAAAACTCAGGGTCTCATCTAGACATACTCAGAGTCAGCATCAAGTGGCTGTAAAATTCCCCCTTTGGAATGAAAACAATCCCAATATCCTCAATATTTGCTAAAACAAAAAAACATTAAACAAATCCAATTTTGGACAATATCACAGTATTTTCCCCAGTTTGCCTGCCTAGTGGTTAAAGCGTTTGCTCGTCAGGCCGAAGACCCGGGTTTGATTCCCCACATGGGTACAATGTGTGAAGCCCATATCTGGTGTCCCCCGCTGTGATATTGCTAGAACATTGCTAAAAGCGGCGTAAAACCAACCCTCACTCAAACACTGGGTAAATCCCTGGCTTGAACTAGCTAATTCAGTCAACATGATAAACACATTGGAAGTGTCAGGTTATATCCTTATTGTAAGTCACCCAGAGGAATCCCCAGCATAGATTGAAACCTGTGAAGATCCGGGTTAGAATTGGTCCTCAGCAACCCATGCTTGTCGTAAGAGGCGACTTACGGGATCAGGTGGTCAGGCTTGCTGACTTGGTTGACACATGTCATCATATCCCAGTTCTGTATATCGATGCTCATGCTGTTTATCACTGGACTGTCTGGTCCAGGCTCGATTCTTTACAGACTGCCACCATATACAGTGGAAACCGCCTAGGTAAAGATCGCCTAACTAAAATACTTCTGAATTTAAAAACAACAACAATTCTTAAAACTCACATGTGTAACTATATTGACATTTTCCCCAAAACTGACTGCAAGTAGGTCTGTATTTCTATACTTGCAGATGCATATAGGTGATGTTACAGAGACATAATAATAATAATAATAACAAGCATTGTCACTAAGGTGACATAATCCCCCTCCACAAATTATCAAATCAAACTTATAGTTCGTCAGGGAGGAGTGCAGAAAAAGGGACAGCCAGAAGTTAGAAAAGCACGTGCACAAGAGTCGACAAAGTTATTGATTCGCGAACCTGTGCTGTCCCTTTCTCTGCACTCGTCCCTTGTAACAAATAGTGAACTGTGTCCATATTTTAATGATAGTTTGTTAAACAACTTTTTTATTTTTAGGACATAAATTCTGCAAACACCTCACAGAGTTGGTGTGATGTTTTGATTATGATCAGTGTTTCATTGAGTATTTTATGTTTATAAGTTTTCGAGTTAGACTGCAATTCATCGGTCCGCTTTTGAGCCAAACGGACTATAAAAAGTAATGAAAGTTTAAGATGAAGTTAAATGTCAACAAAAACATGGCCAGTCAACCTCTCTTGATATCTTCTTTTTAGTTGTTCAAACACACAAATATTTTCAAGACTGACTTTGACCTTGACATGAATGTCATAGTGTATGAAATATGTAAAAATGGTACTAAAGAAATTGCTTCTTGAAAAACATTCAAGGGAAGTCTTGAAAGTCTATGAAGAAAATCCAGTGAATTCAGGTTAACATGCTGAAAGTGTCACAGTGACCTTGAAAATTACGTGAAGGTCATCAAAATTGACTGGGCCCTGCACCTTCATTAGATGAAGCTTGGTGTCAAATATGAAAAAAATCCAGAGAAAGTTTTTTGCGATATCTTGCTGACTATCTTAACATGCAATTTAACATGCTGAAATCTTCAAAGTGTCCTTGTGACCTTGAAAATTAAGTGAAGGCCACTAAAATCGACTGGGCCTTGCACTTTCCCTAGATGAAGCTTGGTGTCAAATATGAAGAAAGTCCAGTGAATGGTTCTTGAGATATCTCGCTGACCATCTTAACATGCAGGTTAACATACTGAAATCTTCAAAGCGTCGCCATGACCTTGAAAATTAAGTGAAGGTCACCAAAATCGACTGGGCCCTGCGCCTTCCCTAGATAAAGCTTCTTCGTGAATATGAAGAAACTCTAGAGAGCGGTTCTTGAGATATCTTGCTGACAAGAGTAAAACGCTAAAGTCCCTTTGTGACCTTGAAATGAAGGTCAAGGTCACCAAACCTGACTGGGACTTTCTTATACTGTGATGGACCTAGGTACCAAATATGAAAAGAATCTAGTCAACAGTTCTTAAGATATTCTAATTCGTACCCATGGAAGTACAGACGGAGCCTAATACCATACTGGCTACATAAAGAAACTGTGCACACAGAAAATGCCTTCAGAATTGGAATACAACACAGTAAAGACGAAATGATATAGACACTTTATAAGCTGAAGTATCGGACCACAAGAAAATGTCAAAAGAACATGAACAATATCCGTAACAATGACGTCAGGAGTTCAAAATCGAGTAGGGGGTCCCACGACGAAGTCACAAAGTCAATAACGGGTATGACCACCGTGTGCAGTTCATCGAAGACGCATAGAGGCTACCAAATGAGCGTTGAAGGCCTGGGGAATGGTCTGGGACTTGGTCACGGCTGTCTGGAACCTGTATCTGAGATGAGTCACCCGAATCGATCTGTCCTGTCTTGGCGTCGTTACGTCGGGAACCCCCAGAACGTGGGTGGTCGGCGACATCATTACTGTTTCGATAATGCCTGACCAATGCAGATATCGTGTTGCGATGGCATTGGAAATGTGCTGCCACCTGTTGTTGGCTCATTCCTGCTCGAACCATTCCAATGGCTTCATGACATTGAGCAGATGTTAATCTTGGCATCATGTGCATGTGACTTCTCATGTGAATTTGTGAACGTTTGAATGACCAAAGATCAGGCTTTTCGACAGTGACAGCAATTTCAGAGTTTCCCATGTTGTGTGCAGCTGTATGCGGGCTGCACGTGCAGTAACACATTGCAAGGCCATAGGCCACCGTCAATGACGTCCGTCACCTGGCACGATGCATGAGTGTTTGATTGTCTCCAATACTTGCTATGTTCACAAATGTATTTATGTATAAAGACGATGTGTGCCTATATTTATATTTTCTGTGTGCAGTTTCTTTATGTGGCCAGTATATATCTCCTGCTTCGCACTAAACGCACGGCAGGGGATAATAATAATATAATATCTTCTCATGTCAATGCTGGACATAATGATAACACACACAGGATCAATACGGACACCACCATGTAATATGAACGTCCAAAACTGCCTTGCTATATTTGCATCAAAGAATGTTACATTTTCTTACTGTATGAAAACAAGTAGCTTTGCAGATCATCAATGAACTGGGTGTTTATTGTTTTACATACAATAAAACCGATGATACCACTTTGTTAATTAGAGTAGATGTTTATCATGACATGTTAAACAAAATATTCACCATTACAGATTACTATGTTCATATCCTTATTTGTCACTATGCCATTTTTACAGGCACTAAAATGAAACTCAAATTCAATATCCCTCTATTTGAAGATTTCAAGTGTTCTCTTGGAATGGAGAAGGACCCTATAGGCAAACGCTTTTAAAATATTCAATTCCTTTTATAATTTTAGTCTATATAAAAAATTCATATTCTGCCAAGCAACTGTGTGTTAATACTGTTATTTGCTAGGGCTACAACAAATGAGCTATGAGGCAAATATGGTACCTATAACTACTTAATGGTAACCATGGTAGAACCTACACTGAAATGTTGCCCCTTAGTCATGTTAATGGAGAACTTCATCCATATATCTCATACAGCCATATGGAAACGAATATGAATATTTCTTGGTGAATATTATAACATATCAGCAGATTATGTTGTTTTCATTATAATCCAGAAACACAAAAAATATATTATTCGACTAGTCATTATCATCATCGTGAGTATTCAGACTGTAGTAATTTAAAGATACCTCATAGCATCATCATCATCATCATCATTGTCAGTATTCAGACTGTAGTAATTTAAAGATACCTCACAGCATCATCATCATCATCATCATCCTGAGTATTCAGACTGTAGTAATTTAAAGATACCTCATAGCATCATCATCATCATCATCATCATAATCAGTACTCAGACTGTAGTAATTTAAAGCATCATCATCATCATCATCATCCTGAGTATTCAGACTGTAGTAATTTAAAGATACCTCATAGCATCATCATCATCATCACCATCCTGAGTATTCAGACTGTAGTAATTTAAAGATACCTCATCATCATCATCATCATCATCGTGAGTATTCAGACTGTAGTAATTTAAAGATACCTCATAGCATCATCATCATCATCATCATCCTGAGTATTCAGACTGTAGTAATTTAAAGATATCAAGATACCATCATATCATCATCATCATCATCATAGCATCATCATCATCCTGAGTATTCAGACTGTAGTAATTTAAAGATACCTCATAGCATCATCATCATCATCATCATCATCGTGAGTATTCAGTCTGTAGTAATTTAGAGATACCTCATAGCATCATCATCATTGTGAGTACTCAGACTGTAGCAATTTACAAATACCTATAATGTCACTGATACCAGAGTACAGATAATACTTCAATGATCAGTTTGTGAGACAGCAATACACCATAAATGAAACACGACAACTGTTATGAATTACTTCCTGTAATAGCAGAAGCAGCCTAGCACCACTTGTAAGCATAACACAACACAAAGACGTGGTGGTGGTTGGATGTCCCAACTAACATTTACTTTTCTACGGATAAAACGCTTTTGTCCTAAGATAATGATAAACATATGGGGCAAGAAGATTTAAGTTCTTACAGTGATTTCACAATATGTTAATATTTTTTGTAGTGTAACATGATATTGGTACCAGTGGTATTGTCAGTCTATATTGTGATACAAATTGAGGTATTATCAGTCAGTGTCGGGAGACGTAATGGTATGAATTGGAACACTGGGAATACTGGCTAAAAATATCACACATTTCCTTCTTAGTTGTCTCATATAAAATTTAACACACACAAAACTCATCACTAATGGATGTATCACCTCGAACAAAACACTGGATAATTTTTCTCTCAAGGATTGTCTGACTTTAACACTGTTGCAAACAAAAGGTGAAAATCAGAGTTTTGCCACCACTTTGTCCTAATAAAATAAAAATGTGACAATTTATGCAGAAAATATTATCTGCATTGACAACCAGTGTCAAATAATTTGGCTCCAGATAGATCTCAGTATGTATGACAACACAGACACATGAAAGACTAATTTCAAAACAAGCTTTTGGCAAACGCCATGTAACAGATATGATTTCAGCAACATAGTTTCCTTACCAGATTTACTATTTACACCCTAGGAGCATTCTCAGAGTGAAACACTACTGACTGACTGACTGAGTTAGGTTTTACGCCGCTTTTAGCAATATTCCAGCAACATCACGTCGGGGGACAACAGATATGGGCTTCACACATTGTACCCATGTGGGGATTCGAACCCGGGTCTTCGGCGTGACGAGCCAACGCTTTAACCATTAGGCTACCCCACCGCCCCAGTGAAACACTAATCACGCTAATGCCAATCACTGGGAAACAGTTAAAGTGTCCATAGAGTGATTATCACACATCATTACTGTAACTATCAGTCCCTCCTGGATTCCGCTGCAGATTTTTAAGAATTCTGCATTAAATTTATGTAATTTCTGCATCCCATTTTTCAAAATTCTGCAAAAGATTCTGCAGTTAAATACTTGAAAAAAAAAAAATGATATAGAATTTTAATTCTGTAAATGGTTTAAAGCTTCATGACATTCAAGGTACAGGCGGCAGCTCGTTTTTTCTTGCAAGATGTTTTATATAATTTAGAAAGACGATCTTACGAATGTGATCAGGAATGACATTACAAACTCCACAAAATATTGTTTTGTTTGATAAGTTATTTTGTAAGTTGAATCAAGATTGCCTATCAAACAAAACAATATTCCGCGGCAGAAAAATGGCAAATTCTGCAGGTATTCTGCATGAAAAAACTTTTTCCGTGGACCAGACGTTTTTCGGTATGAAAATGTATTTTCCACGATTTATTCTGCAACCGCGGAATCACGGAATCCAGGAGGCACTGAACTATTACTTGTAATCACCAGCTCTGAATTGGAGAAATAACAGGAAAAAGGCTTCAGAGCATAATCTTACATTATGCAATAAATGCACTTAAAAAAACAATGAATTCATAAAAAATTGTAACAGTAGGAAAATATATATGCCGAGAATCATTATTTTTTATGAGGAACATGAAATTTTTTGGGGGGGGCATCATGGATTCATCTATGATTTAAAAAACAATATATCATATTTGTTTGATAACATATTGTTCAAAATTAAGACATATCCTTCATATAAAAAGAATCATTTCATCTTCCACATCCTGAAAGAACAGTTTGTAGGAGCCTTGATTTCAGATATTCTGGGTCTACTGTCAGTTTACATATAGTCCACCACAGACACAAATACTGAGGATAAGGCATACTTCACTGACCAACGGGTATATGTTTTAATAGTCTGTGTTTTTGTCTGACTTAAGTAAAGTCCAATTATCAGTTGGCCTTAGATCTAATGTTCTGGGCTCCATGTGGATTTGTAAATTGTATTTCGAAGATGTATACATTTTTAATAAAATGACTTTACTTATGGGAAAAATATCTGTCTAACGAATGTATGAAGGCATTTTATATCAGCCCTTACATAAGGCAACATGTCACAAAAAAAACACTTATAAAAAACTCATGGAAGCGACATAGAATGAACAAATCTTTATCCAAAATAAAAAAACCTTAAATCATTTATCAGTAGTTTCAAAAACCTTTGGAAACATGGAAAGTCATAAAATTGATAAACGCTACATTTTTCTGATTTATTTAAAAAATGATAAGATAAAAATATATATATTTAGAATGCTTGTAATAATTTTAATTACCATAATGTCATGTTTCTCCATAACAAAATCAAATAAACAATGTAATGGTGTAAATGTGAAAATACAGACATTTCATCAAACATGATGTGGAAGTATAATTCTGTATAATGTAAAGTATAATAACCTGCAATGTTAATATTGGCAATGGAGAGATGTGCACAGCAGGACCCCCTTAACATTGACTTACCATAATCAGTATAGTCACATGACCACACTAGTCATAGCTGCTATAAACAAAAACACATAAATATTCATATATAAGTTTCATATGGGAATATTAATGATGAAAATGTAAACTGATCAATTCATTAAAGAAAGGACAGCTGATAAAACAACTTACTTCGGGGTAGTCATCCGTGGGGTCCTCAGGGGTGCCATCATAGCCCTTCCCATCAAAGTAAACAGGGAGGTTATCAAGTTCTTCGTCTGTTTTTTCCTGTTTAATCTGAATGTTTTCTGTCAAGGTGTCGAATTCGAATTCATCCGGCTCTTCCTGATATGATCTTTCATTCTGTAGCCATCTACCGCCACCCTCGGATTTCATGGCTATGACTCGCATTTCAAATTCATTTAATTCTTGCGTGCCTCTTGCAAATTTCCGTTTAGCTAAACACTGCATATCACCCCATTTTTTTCTCACCTCTTCCATCGTCCGTTCATCCCCCTCCCCGATACGATTTATTTTTGACGTGATGTCATCCCACAAAGCTCGTTTATGCTTCGCTGCGCACGATGGCGAAAGCAACACATCTTTATTCTTTTCGATTTCTTCTAAAAGCGTGTCTGTCTCAGAGTATGTGAAATTACTCTTCCTTTTCGTGAACGACGCTTTTAAAAGTGACACCATTTTCAGTTAGTAATATTGTAGTGAACTTGCGTGCTAACGGTGACAATAGCTGAACGTACGAATGAAAACATTGAATTCACATCAACGGCGAGTTACCTCCCTTCCACGTAGGACTACCTCTGTGTGCCAATCCGCATAGCGTCGGGCATTATGTAGGTTATTGAGTTGGCCGGGTCGTGGTTTCGGCGTGTGTGATACATCGGGAAAATGGCGAAGTCGCAATCAACATATCGTAAATCCGCTTCGTTGATTCCGTTTGTAACACATCCCACACTTCAGGACAGTGCTGTGGCCGCCTTCGTTCCTCACATTTCACCTCCTGAGATGTAAACAAGCCACTGTACGTTGAAGCCGCGCAAATCTCACCCCTTTATGCCGTCTCCCGCCTGTCATGATTAGAACCCATTATAGCGTATGACCTACTGCGCGTACGATGCGTATCTACGCATGCGCAAACACATTGACCTGTCGGTGAACGAAGCCTTCGCATGCATGAATTATGGGTTTTAGGGGTCATTCGAGGAGTTGCTTAGTTACGCTGCTTAGAATTACGAAAGATTCTGCTTTGTCGCAAGTTGGACTATACGCACTGGCAATGTGCATTATTGAATATGTTGCTTGCTACGCGACTGCACTGCAGACGTTTGAGCTCTTTAGCCAAGACTGCTGGTTGTTCCAATGCTGTCGTTGTGGAGGGCTCCGCATGTAATCTTGTGGGAGGCACTGTCGCGTGGATCGGACTAACCATGTAATCTCATTGCAACGTGCCACGCTTACTTTATTAAGGTGTTCGCCGGTTTGGTTTCAAAAGTAATTACGATAATCAGCGTATATCCAACAGATGTATATAATCTTTTCATCGTATGTATTAATTTGCAGAAACTACGTATATGCTCCCACTATCATTGTGATGGCTTTTTGCGAGGACAGGATTTTATACTCATACTGACACATTGTGACAAATTATAATTCGTCGAACATTTTGAGTTTAAAAAGCAAATCGGTTGTTTGCGAAGGGTCAATATGACGTCATGTGAGTTAATATAGTACCAGCATAGCTGAAGAGAGTCATACATCATTCATGACGTCACATAAGATTTCCTATTACGTCATAAGAACTATTAGTTGGCGCTGGCGATATGTATTTACCGTATTATCGGACAATTTACTCAAGTCGTTCCTTCTGATACCGATAGTGTGCAAATAGCATACGAGCTGTCTACCATTAAATAATATCGTACATTTGGGGGACGTAGTTGATTATCGCTAATTAGTCCTAGGTTCTTATTATACTGAATAAATGCATGGATGCTTATTGTAACCTTGAAATCGGTATCTGTTCGGGAGATCTCTGTTCAGGGACGGTGGGGTAACCTAATGGTTAAAGCGTCCTCTCGTCACGATGAACACTTGGGTTCGATTCACCACATTGGTACAATGTGTGAAGCCCATTTCTGGTGTCCCCCGCCGTGATATTGCTGGAATATTGCTAAAAGCGACGTAAAACCTTACTCACTTGATATCGGATCCGTCACAGACTAATGTATATTCATGCGCTGGCAAGCCATATCGATTACCTGTACTGTTTTTGGACACCCTATGTGGATTTTGTATTACAATATTTTCCTAGGAACATGTGCTTGTCGGAAGGGGCAACTGAGTGGACGAGGCTCGGGGAATCGATTGATTGCGTTTCACTATTCTCCGACAGCGTAATGATATCAACCGCTGGTTTGTCACTGTCGAGATCGGGTGTTTGGGTAGCCAAGTGGTTAAAGCGTTCGCTCGACATACCGAGGACAGGGTTCGATTCCCCACGTTGGTATACTGAATGGAGCCCACGTTATTGCTGGAATATTGCTAAAAGCGGCGTAAATCCTTACTCACTCACTGTGTCGACTTCTTTGCAGTATATTTGCCATAATTCTCAAAGGTTGTCGGCATTAAATAAACTTTGTTAACGTACATCATCCCATATTCGTGTTTCGACATCTATGTCTGTCCACGTATCATATGGGTACGAGTGAGTGAATATGGTTTTACGCTGCTTTAAGCAATATTCCAGCAATATCACGGCGGGGGAACACCAGAAATGGGCTTCACCCATGTGGGGAATCGAACCAGGCTCTTCAGTGCGACGAGCGGACGCTTTAACCATTATTGTAAACCAAAACTCGCCGTGTTCCTTAATCGGATGGGTTGAAAAACATGATCGAATGGTATTCGATTCCCGAAAATTGCAAGACTATTCACTGCGTATTGACACTATAAGTTGTATGCTTCTCTCGAGGGTAATACGGTCTGATGTACGCCTTTTTGTAGCAGTGTCATCCCTCGCCCGGTCTGATGTACGCCTGTTTGTAGCAGTGTCACTGCTGATGACACTGCTACAAAAAGGCGTACATCAGACCGTATTAACCGAGGGAGAAGGTACAACGTATTTATCTTACCGCCTTGTTGAATGTACAAAACATCATTTTATTTTATGTTAAAGATCGCGACTGACTATATGACATGTAAACAAAGTGGCGTCTGCCTCTCGACTGGATTTTTAAAATCAGTGAAACATATTCTGACAAGCTTAAAACTGCTATAAAAATGGTTAATTATGTTTAAGGTGAGTGTGCAAACCACTCAATGTATAAAATAGCTTAAATAAATTAGTCAGGCGCGTAGCAAGCCATTTTTTTTCGTGTAAGCCCGATAGGCTGCAAAGCTTTATATTTAGATAGGATTGAGGGATTGCCCAACTATTATAGCAAAAATCATGTGTAAGCCCGGGCTTTTTCTTATAATGGTAGCTACGCCCCTGTTAGTGAAAGTTGGTAAAATAAATCTGTACAAAGTGAACACAAATACAGCTGATCGAATGGTTTTCGAACTCCGGGCACGGCATGCGTCATATTATGACGTCATACGATTGTTAGCTCTTCAGCTTCTCAGCGGAGAGCTTGGCGGTTGGCAGCGGGTAATATTTTTTTCAGTTGTCACCCTCCTGGAAGAGGTGACACGGAAACTTGTTAAGCGTCATTGACCAATGAAATTAAAGTATTTTATATGAAGGTAAGATAATATACAATTATAGACTCTTGTAGAGGTCAATAAAAACCGATATCGACCTCTACAAGAGTCTATAATTGTTTTATTATATAATGAAAGAGAAACGGGTTTTAACATAAACTTTTAATGCACACATTGTGCCATCTATCCGAGTGATCTGATTGGCTGAAAAGCGGGGGAAGCCCCTTCGTACGGGATTCCTTGTCTATTTTTAGTAACCCAAGTCACTATCGTAATTTATCAGAAAACTCAAGTCAATATCGTGTTTTGTAGTCAATCATGTGACGGTATTTTGACCAATCGTGGTACAGGAAAAATACTACCTATATAATAAGTACAAATATCGCACACAATGGTATTGTTTCGTCGTCAGCAGTGGTGACGTCATTCAAATCATATTGTGACGTAAAGCCGGAATGACGTCACAAATGAGCAGTTCCAGATTCTAACCATGGGATCCAGCTGAAACGGCCAGCTGATGACACTTCACTGCTGTACCCGTACTCGATGACAATGAACCTCAAAACCCACGTTGGCCTTTTGGTTTACTTTTGTGTTTACAATGTCGATAAACACCATGTGCTAACGCCGTCGGTTCCAACTAAATTCCCGTACTTCAAATACTCAATAACACCCGGAAATTGGCCAACACATGATGTTTATCTCCTAAGGGTACCCCACCGCCCCCATATCGGTAAGAAACGCCACGTGTATCCATCAGCTGCAACAGTTTTGCGATGATTTGGTGAATAAATCTATCTCCCAACAAAGTCAATATAATTGCCTTATTTTAGAAATACAGTTCACTCTACACCTATGTATTGTGTAACAAAGTACGGCTATACTTTGAACTATTATAGTGAGTGAGTGTGTATGGTTTTACGCCGCTTTTAGCAATATCACGACGGGGACACCAGAAATAGATTTCAAACGTTGTACCCATGTTGGGAATCGAACCCGGGCCTTCAGCGTGAGGAGCGGACGTTTTACCCATTAGACTACCCCATCGCCCCCTGAACAATTGTAATGAATCGTATAGTTCTTTTCTGGGATGCCAAGTTGAATACTTACCGACGATTGATATAATGTGCAAAACAAATGTTTAAAAACATCCAAATGTTGGTGACCGGAGTTAACAATACTTGTTCAGGGCTAACTGGCGTGCTGTCCTACTGATGTGTCTGCCTCCCTACGTTAAGATACACGATATGAATAAAACAAATGATAAAAAGATCCGGTTGTATCATAATCATTGATTCATTAACTAATGTCAACATTAAAACCTAATGATATATTAAATCCATAATGCATCTTTCATTAGTTAATGGCAACATTAAACACGGTTGTATCAAACACTTATTAGCGTATCATTATCTAATGACGTCCTAATGTAAATATTTTCATTACATTCGGAGACTCCCCTAAATATTTCCCACAATTCGCCGACGTAAACACGTAAGCGTTACTCTCTGTCGTCTGTCAAAATGGCATCTTTACGGCTAAACCTCGGAACAATAACAAACATTTCGACATCTGTAAAGAAACATATTTCAATAATTCTGAAATGTCGCCGATAAACCTAGAATCGGTAGGGATGTTTTGCAAAATACACGAACACGAACGCCGAAGTGAGCTTTCCGCCATATTGGATAGTGTTTACAAAATCAAGTTTCGCTAACTGGCTAAGGCCGGTCATAGGACGCCTATTACATCATGTATATTTCATATTCAGTTGTGAAAAATGCATCGCCGAATTCCTTATACATTTTAGAATCAAATAAATGGTCTTTGTCACTAAAACCAAGTGTCTAGAAGAAATCGAAACATATTGGGTATGACAACGAACATTGTGCTCATAACACAGCGCTTGTTAGAAATGTAAACAAAGCAAATATCAGATTTTTTTCTGTGCAGCGTTTGCTAAATTATTTAGACATCAGTTCGTCTAATCGTAGCATGTATCGGCTCAATGTTTTTAGAATATGCATGGAAAGAGTATCGTAGCAAGAACTAGAAAATTAAAGATAGGTACAATACAGTAATTTGATATGTTCATAAGAAAGTTCTGTGCAGCGTGACGCGATGCCAGACGCAAAATCATGGAGAACGACATAGGCAGTTATTATCATTTCTGGCTTTTTCAATGAAAACAGTAAAACCAGACAACCATACGCAGATAGTCAGAATGTTTCTGATTACTTACGTTGTACATTTATGGACAAATGTTACCTCGCAAAATCCTGGGTACCCGTATCAGCGAAGCCGCCATTTTATGAGAAATCGATCAAAGGTTGTGATGTCATACGTCAACATTGTTGTACATATTTTGCAATTTCTTTGCGGTTAAAGTCGGTTGAATATAAGAGTAAACACAATCACCCTGTCCTGCGGATTACACTTTCAGTATTAATGTATAATTTGAGAAGATCTATCGTTCGTATATGTTTTTATGAAACTAATTTCATTTTCAACATTTATTTTAAACGTAAGTAAACTGACACAATTAATGAAAATAATTTATTTATTTCATGAAATGTATATGCACACATTTTAAAAGGAATTGTCTTGTTCACGGAATTTGTTTATGTTGGTTAATAGACAAAACAATGGCGTATATTGATTGGCCAGGTGCGCGTTTGCCACACATGTTTTGACTAGCATTGTTTTCGATAATACCGTGAACAAAATATCACGAAAATATAGTGTCCTTATAGACCATTCTTAGCCAATATGCATGACCTCGAGGTCAAATCGAAAGCGAGGCTAAATAGGCTAACCCAACCTTGAAAATGGCGACCTCGAAAAGGCAAGATTACTGCTGTGTGCCTTTGTGTCGGAGTGATGCCCGGAAGGATTTTACGGTATCTTTTCACCACATTCCTAAGGATAAGATCGTAAGAAGGCAGTGGTTGACGAAAATACGGAGAGATCCTGGAAAATTATTCACAGTAAAATTGAAATCAGAAAGTACATTAAGATTTTTCGCATTTGTCGCCATTATGCGAATGTGACCTTGCTCCCATTAGCCTCGTTTTGGTATAAATATGAATATTCATGAGGCCTCATTAAGAATTGTCTGATCAAATTCTCTCCAAGTGATCTGAGTTACAATGACTTAGTGTTAAACATAGCGATGTAATGCCCCCTTATCTATATAAGCATATGTCGTTGTTTGACGTCATAGAGGAAAATCATTTAACAACACATATTGCGAGTCATGTTTTTAGATTAAGTGTATGACGTTATACATAAGCACACAAACCAATTTAATATATACTTATGTCGTTTAGATATCAGACAATATTTTGTTCGTTCACACTTTCCATAAAGATGCCAAATTAAAAATATAGTAGCACAGTACTTTCATCAGTGCACGATAAAAAGCGGAGAAATTTACTGATTTTAAGGCACAACAAAATTCGGGATAACATATAGCAGTGTCTATTTTTCAAACATCCTAAGTATTTGCACTTGTGTTTACACTATGGGATGGGCAATTTAATATTCTAAGTTTCTGTTTAATGTTTTAGCTGTAGGTAGATCCAGTGCTGCGCAAACGAAATTCTGACGCAAAGTTCACTTTTCCAGGAAGTTAATGACGCTCTAATGATACCCCAGAACCTTCATTAAGTTCATGACGCGCTAATGACAACACGACGTCATTAAAACCTTAGTACAACAGAATTTAATGAAACTTTACTTAATGAACGTTTAATGACTCGTTAATGCTGCATTAAAGTTTGCTACAACCGGGTCCAGGTTAAAGATGTTTTGTATATTATTTCAATTAAATGTGTGATTTTCGTAAACCACAGGGGGCAATAGGAACGCCGCATTTACACTTAAAATATAAGTTTAGATCAGTGCAACTAGAGCCAGCTGACTAGTCACGTGGCATTCAGTTATGGACTGCGTGACTGTAGACATAGGCCGAGTAAGTGAACTTTACCCCATCGCTGTGTACCTGAGTCAAGCTGAAGTAGTTGTTCCGTCGATAATGTTAAATGTAATGTTTCCACCAATGCTGTCAGCGGACTGAAGCAACTACAAAACATGAAACGGGGCGCTAAACGTGATACTCGTACTGTAGGACACAAGGCAATGACGTGAATCGTAACGTTGGTTACCAAGGGTACGTTTGCTTACGAGGGGGCAGACTAGAATGGCGTTGTGACGTCAAGGCAGTGTGATGTAATGTACAAAATGTGTACTTTATCGCCCGATAAAGTACTGCCGGCACGTTTGATCTTTTAGCGAAGTATCTTAGAATCATAAGTATATTTGAACAAGTCGACGCCTTTGATTCAGCCAATTGCTGAGAAATTTTAAAATAACCTATGACTGACATAAATGGATATTAAAGGACATATCAAATTTCTCTTGAAGTTATGTGTATTTTGGATCAAACAGATTTATTAATAAGTAAAGAAAAACAGAATTTATTTAATAACACATATAACAACGCGTATGTCGACGGGAGATTCAGCTCAGACTGGAGACGAAGAATTAGCCGAGGCCGAACTTAGTCGGTTAAAAATAGACAATTATTGCGATGATTTATACTCCACTACAAGTCAAGTCCAGTAATTAGGTGTATTGTACAAGCGGCTGCCAATGCAGATGATTTCAGAATACTCGACTACCTAATAGTATATCTAAGAGTTAGTGAGTTAAGTGTTTTAGTGATGGACAACGCTGGACAGACAGTGGACCAACGCTTAGTCTCTGGAAACGTATTGCTTGAATAGAAACACATTACTCCATTTAAACTGAAAAGGAGCACCAGTAAGATGGGGATATTCAGACCAGGCTATCGTTGCTCAAAGCGATCTTAGCGCTAAGGTGAACGTAACAGAGTCTGAAGAAATCTAGACTTGCTTCATTTAGAGCGTTTGCATTACAGGGGAAGGGACAAAACTATGGTTTCAGGTACTGTGAGACGGACTAGTTTGTTTGTTTGGTGTTTAAAGACTGGCAATATTTCAGCTATATGACGGCGGTCTGTAAATAATCGAGTCTGGACCAGACAGTCCAGTGATGAACACCATGCGCATCAAATACGCAATTGGGATACGATACGTGTCAACCAAGTCAGCGAGCCTGACCACCCGATCCCGTTAGTCGCCGCTGAAGATCAATTCTTACCTGGATCTTCACGGGCGTGAGACGGACTAGACAGACTATGGAGATAATCTATTAAGACTATGAATATCAATATAGGAATTGCTTTTAGACACTATTGGCTTCAGGCTTTGTAGGTGAACTTGAACTGCATCTTGGTTCCTCCTTTCTTCTGTGTAATGGCTGAGGATGTTGTTGTCAGCCTTTGTAGCTCAACTTGAACTGCATCTTGGTTCCTCCTTTCTTCTGTGTAATGGCTGAGGATGTTGTTGTCAGCCTTTGTAGCTCAACTTGAACTGCATCTTGCCCCGAGTTGCACATAGACGGAGCAGACTAACAAGAGGTGGTGTTCGTCTTCCACATTCCCGTCACTACAGACACAATTCATATGGTCTACTGTTCCATGGGGTAACTTCATACGTGGAGGGACACTTCATAACATTCTTTGGGTAAAGACAGTCAGACATTCCCAACAGCTAAAGCCAGAAGCCAATAGTGTCTAAAACAATTCCACTACTGATATTTATAGTCTTTATTTATTGATTGTCCCCATAGTCTGTCTAGTCCGTCTCACGCCCGTGAAGATACAGGTTATAATTGATCTTCAGCAACCCATACTTGTCGTAAGAGGCGACTAACGGGATCGGGTGGTCAGGCTCGCTAACTTGGTTGACGATTGCTAAATCGATACTCATGCTGTTGATCACTTGATTGTTTGATCCCGACTAGATTACTTACAGACCGCAGTCATACAGCTGGAATATTGCAACAAGTAAACAAGGATATTATTTCAAGTGAAGTTCTTCCAAAGGGTTGAATACGCACACTATATATTTTATATGAAGCACAGAGGTTTACCTGATCTGATACGATTGGTCAATAATCCTCCGAAAGAAGAAATTTGTTGTTGCAACCCACGGAGGCCGTCTCTGGAGAAAGTGATGGAATACTCCTGACCGTTGACTCGAGGAATTTCAGATTCGGCAGCAACCATAATTCTTTTGTCAATTATGTCCTTCATGGCAAAATGTTCAACAGGATTTGGGAAAAGTGTGGACTTTTGAATAAATTCAAGGTTCATTGTCAGTTTGTCAACTTCGCTCTCAAGAGTAACTAGTTGGTGATCACTTCTCTGCGTGAGGAACTTGGTGGATTCGTCCATCTCGGTCTGTAACTCTATTTCCCTCTGGTCCAACATCAGGTGCAACTTCTGGAAGGTGCATCTGATGACCTCTTCAACAGCATCTTGTTGTGGCTTCAGTCTTTCACCAATGTCTTCCTGGAGTGATCGGCACTCCTTCATCATGTCCAACCTTGCTCTCAATGCAACTCCTTTGTCTTCAAGGAAAGTTCGACGTGTTTCCCAAGCTGCGTCTAGGTCCTCTGTCTTGCAGCTCTTGTGTTCGGCCAGAACACACATGGCACAAAGAGGAGCATTACAGCTGGAATCATAGAGGGTGACAGGATGTTGTGCATGCTGGTCACAGTAAGACATACATTTTAAAGTTTGGGGAAAATTTGTCAAATCCTGCACGAGTATCACCTTGTGTTTGCGTGTGGCTTTCATGTCCCCGTGTGCCACGTGACAATGTTCGCAGAGAAATGCTTCACACTCTTGACACCAAGACATTGCCTGGTTGCCATCTTCTCTGTTGGTACACAGCAGTTCATTGCCGTTATGTACAATCGTGGAGAGAAGGGTCTTCTTTCTGGTTACATAATCTATTGGGAAGGTAGATTTGGGGAACGTTTCCTGGCAGGAACTACAGAGAAGCGTCTTGTCATTTTCGGACTTTAGACAGTTTTCACAGACCGAATGCAAACACGGAAACAGAAACGGACCCTCAGTGTCATAGACGTATGGCTTTTGACACACTGCGCAACCGGGAATGATTTCTTTAGCAGCCATTGAAGGGAATAGATATGGTGTTGGAGAACGTTTCTGTCAGCTGTTGTTCCCTTTATGGGCTGGTGCCTTTGCTTTGGAATAAAAAGATGCACATAAAGCATTAAATGAACATCTAATGGAATGAACCAGGTTAAAAATCCGTAGGCTTCATTGATCATCGGGGCCGGTGGGGTAGTCTAGTGGTTAAAGCGTTGGTTCGTCACGACGAAGACCCGGGTTCGAATCCCCACATGGGTACAATGAGTGAAGCCCATTTGTGGTGTCCCCCGCCGTGATATTGCTAGAATATTGCTAAAAGCGGCGTAAAACCAAACTCAGTCAGTCATTGATCATCTCTCTTATAACGCAAGAACCCAAGAGTCTTCCCCCTCCCACCTCCACACAGATACATGTGATAGTTGTGGATGATGACGATTCAGTGTGAACCCATGTTAAACCGAAACCCTCAGACCACCTAAATGTATAGACTATTAGCTGGCCGACTCTCTTTATCCTCAAATTTATATATTTGGAAAAGAATTGTATTTACTCTTCGATCAAATAGTGTCATATATATCAACATTTGGGAACATGGAGCAATAATTTCTATGCATTATGCTTTATCAGAATACTTCCTGCTTGCATGTCACATTTATATTTGCTACCGGATCGAGACACCATGTTTATCGGATTTAGTTGTCCAGTCGATAACATTATCGATTATATGATCAATGGAGGTATCCATAGTATACGAGACAGAAGGTATGTCTTTTCAGGACTACACAGCAAATATCTGTACTGTCGAGACCTCAATTTAAATTTGCTTAACATTTAAACTAATAAATATGGTAACTGACAAAAACCTACAGAGCTCTAATCCAAAACAGATATATTCCACAGTCAGCGTGGTTTGCTTCCAGAATACACGTGATCACATGACGCGTCTATTAACTTTGGATTTCTTTTGCGAAAATTAATGAAATTGACAAAGAAAAGGAAAATTATATCGAAATGATAAGGTAACTAAAATATAGCGCTGAATTCCACGCCGCACAGGATTGGTCTAAGCGCACACAGCATAATGGACACTATTACCCCATGGCATACACTCATTTATATAACATATATAAGAATTATACTCCGTTTTACACCCATATATTTAACTGTATTGACTTTGTTTCAAAATTTCTTCACGCAGTGTGCTGGCCCACACATCGAGACCCTCATTGACGGTTTGGTCATCGTGACCTGCAACAGCCTGTATGCAGCTGGTCCTGGCGGGTGTTATACCTCAAACATTTTTCACTGTATGCACATTTACATACCCTCATAAACAGGCACATTCACAACCAGAACCAAATTATCTAATTGCAACACAAACATACTCGCAGGTGAGGTCGATGTCTTTGCACACACTGACTCCGGTTCCGGAAGTCGTACTACTACAAGAATGGAGATCGGGCTGGTCTCTTTATTGACTATAGTTCGATCGACAGGTGGGTTTTTCCTTTTGATGAAACCGACATCGGTGTTTTGGGTGCATACGGAAAAGTATTACGTGCGTTGATTGATGACGGGAGGAAGATTTTCGAAATAAACAAACTCGAGGTTGACAAATTTTCTGTCCCATACCTTCTCGACTTAGACCTAGCCTGTTAGTCTGTATCATGTAAGTATAGATTATTACTTACTTGGTCCTGATCACATATTCTGTAACTCTAGCATGCTGGTAGCACGATTGGATTTTCCTCTCGTTTCTGGACACAGACACCATCTGTGGTATCTTGCTCCCTGTGGTACACACCTGTTGAGACCAAACAAATCTGTTCAAAATCGATTTCCCAAGCAAATGGCTCGCCAGTAACGAGGTATCAATCCACGTCTATGTTAACAAAACCATACCAAGTGTATAAACAATACACCTTGTGAGAGCGCCTGTTGCGTAGGGCTTGAATAGGTCTTTTTATAGGTGTGTAACAGATAAGTCCTATGTGGGTTATCAACCCTCTTATCTCCACGTGATCTCCCAATGCTTCACTGATTTTGTACAACTGGCGTATGTATAACGGGTTCCATCAGTAGGGCAGGACATGTCTACCCTTTCCCAAATACCTGGTGTAATCAGTGCTAATCAATACTTTACCCTGAATTGATCCATTTATACTGTGCCCCAAAGTGATGGGCTTCGTTAAAGGAGGTATATTGAAAATAAACTTCTTAGCATATGTTAAATGGAAAAAAAGCACCAAACATCTGCTGTTATTCCACAACCTGCATGTACCGTATGCATATTGTAATCACAGCCTCGGCAGAGTTCAAAATGTGACGTCACAGTGGTGAACCGCGGGCCGTTTCCCTTTGTTTACAGTGCATTCATCTACATAACACTGGGGTGTTATCTCCGTTCATCCCGCTGTGTGGTAGACGTAAGATAGTATATCTTTTTCGTGATGGTGTCCAAGTCCATCCAAGAAAGGTAATAAGTGTCATGTCATAAAAAATTGCAAGCGTAAAGAAACTGTAGACCACTGAATGTCAGAGGAAACAATGTTGTACACTTGATACATCGTTACACGGTGAATAACACTGCCACAATGTTGTACACTTGATACATCGTTACCCAGTAAATAACACTGCCACAATGTTGTACACTTGGTACATCGTTACACAGTAAATAACACTGCCACAATGTTGTACACTTGATACATCGTTACACGGTGAATAACACTGCCACAATGTTGTACACTTGGTACATCGTTACACATTGAATAACACTGCCACAATGTTGTACTCTTGGTAAATGACACGAGTTTAGAGTGAAACAAAAGACGACAGGTTTCATTATTAACAATGGGGTTACAAATGAACAAGTTTTACAAAACATTTCCAAAGGTCAGTACACATTAGTGTTTCAGTACAAAATTCAATGACAGTACAATTACAATGGCAGTGCAATGGCCGTTCAGGTTCCACTCCTCTGAATCAGAACCACGTCTTCCCTAAACATCTGAAGAGATAGACATGTGACAGCTGTGATTTGATGTAATAGTGTGAGATTTTTATGTTTTTTTAAAGCACATCCATCTAGTAATTAAAACTGACCACAATTTAAGTATTCAGTACTGCCATTTTTATCACCATGACTAAGGCTTAATGTGTGTACAGATATTTTCCAGTAGGTGACAATTGGTGCTGAACTGGGGTTGATGTGTTCAGCTTCCTGTGCTCGGAAAATTGGCAGGATAAGTTGGCCGGAATTAGTGTTTTTATGGTAGTTTAAAGGCCAGACTGTACCCATGTGTACATGGAATGGCTGTTGACAGCCTGGATGATTTTAGAAAAAATATAACGTTACTATCGAAGACTACTAGTATTCGAAAACATTGTCATGTTGTGTAACATATAGTCATTGATAACAGATATCATCTAGTAGCAAAAGGAGGTCATGCTTCCAAAAAGAGGTCCAGACTGCATGGATATCTAGACTATCCCCCTACCGCTGGTCTTGATGAAGTGTGGGTTGAGAGAGGCATGAGCTTGCCCACTTATATAGTCCCAAATATTTATATAGTCTAAATACCTTGCAGAAAATTCTATACCTCGATGGATTACTTCGTAGCTGTAAGACAAGATTCCAGAAACACTTGACTTTCAAAATCGTTTAAAGAGAGTAATTTTCAGAACATGCTTAAAAACCAACACCTTCCCGACAACTAATTATAGTTAAAACTCGATGTTATGAACTTCTGCTAAATATTAATGTAATACAGTGACCCCATTGTTTGATGACAAGTTACATTGCCGTGTATGAACTGCAAGCCATGAGATTATTTTGATCTGTTGATGAATGGAAATGTGTGTACATGACTTCTAAGGTATGCTTGCATGGTGATTACATTTCACAACTTTTGAGGTACAATCGAGCGTGCAATTTATAGCAGGATTTCCAAGAGTGTCATACCACTCTTGCTCGGAAGTTTTTGGATCAATGTTACAACATTCAAGGACTCAGTAAAGCTTTCAAGAAGTTTTGTGGTAGACCTGTGAAGGAAATTTCTAAATTTGACGCATCATTGACAAAAATGATATCCAATGCAATTCCCTATTTTGAATTATGGCATGGTGACAATCACTGGATTGTCTGGTCCAGACTCGATTTGTTTACAAACAACATCGTACAGCTGTGATACTGCTGAAACACATCGACCCTGCTTTTAGCAGAGTTCCTTATGAACGTGGATAGGGTTTTGTCTCTTCTTCTTACTTTTAAGGATCTTATGATACCACTCTATGAACAAGGCTTGTTTGCTACAAATGTTAACATGCCACGTATAAAATATCGTCTCTCTATGAAAATGGTGTTGCTGTTATTTCATCAAATATATCGATTACATATTTTTTTTATTTTCTTGAATTCGGTTTTTTTCGCAAGTAAACCGATTTTATCCAAATCTGCAACTGTAGGTCATGCAGTTCGATACGACGGAATTACAGCCGTTCTAATGAAGATGTTTGACGGGAAGCTAAGCAAGGTAGCAGACTAAGCCCACTAAACGACACAGAACTCAGCTGGCTGGAATTGACATGTTGGAGAAGAGGTAATTATTGTGGTGGCCGCCATAGAGCTTGAATATTGCTGAGTGCGGCGTAAAACTATACTCACTCACTCACTATTGTGGTGTGTTTAGCTACAAAATGACCTAATTGTAAGTCAATAATAATCAGGACCAACATTACAATGTTAGAAATAAACAGATAAATGTGTATGATATGGAGTGCATAAATTCTCTTTTTTTCTTGTGATTTTCTTTCTTTCTTACAGATGTATTCTTGATTCATTCTCAAATCTTGCATCTTTATAGTTTCGGTTTCAGATTAATGTTTGTTTGGGATGGAAAATTCAAACTTATCTAGAAAACTTGTCTCGCTTGTGTACATGTTTGTGTGTAAGGTTTGAACGAAAACCCCGTGCTCACGGTAGGTTACTCCAATATCAAAGGTTCAGTGCATACCGCTAAAGAAAACAAAGCATTAACAATCTGATAACGTAAAGGCGTGATTTTGGTCGTTACAAAATGCCTACAGCATTAGATTGTTTCGTTAGTATGTTGTTTACCGCCGCACTCAGCAATATTTAAGCTATATGGAAGCGGTCTGTAGATAATCGAGTCTGGACTAGACACCAGCATGAGCATCAATCTACTCAATTGGGAGTCCATGACGTGTGCCAACCAAGACAGCGAGCCTCACCACCTGATCAATTACGACGAGCATGGATTGCTGAAGACCAATCCAGGATGACATTATGGGTGCTGCACTTCGTTTGTCTCGCATACAGGCAACTCGACATAACGTCGCCAGAACGAGGATAACAGGATTTCACTGATTCTTTGATAAAATCTGTCCTGAACCTAAACAGTTTTATCTGAGCACAAACAATTCGTTTATATTCAACTTAAATGTTATGTTCTGTTTTAGCTTATATAAAGGGAAGGATTAACCGAAAAAAGAGACAACGTTAAACTCAATACATTGACCCACGGAGGGATTCGAACCCAGTGTCCTTGGATGTGTGAACGCTTCAATCAGCTCTTACATCCAAATATTGTTAACTGAATATTGAATCAACTAACGTCGTGTATTAGCCCTATGGTTACATCCTATTCTGCCTACAGTACCAATTTGCCTACATCCCAGCAGTTTGCCTGCACAAATTACTGTAGGCAGAATGGGAAATATTGTTTTACCTATAAAATAATGGAACAACCCATTTACCAGTCACTGAAGGGTATGTTGTTTGGTTGGAGAAAGCGTAATTAAGTACCTCCAGACTGGCAGGAAAACACCACTCGAGTTCTTTGATGCTGTTGGACATTGATTAAAGTTGCCAAGTAATTATTATTTGTGTGACCTCTTTGATAAGGAATGAAATAAGATATCTCTATCATAACTGACCAAGAGTATGCATTATATTCCGTGACATTTTGTCAATTCCAATGAATGAAATGTATTCAGAAAGAATAAAGATACCTTATACCTGAAACACACATTTTTTCCAGTATTGCCTACAATTAACTTTTGTTCAAGTTCATTTAAAACAGTAAAGGCAGAATAGGTCAGCATATTATCCTTACTTCCTGATCACTAGATGATCACACACGCATGTCGTATTGGGCATCGTTGTACAAATGCGAGACAGCGCAGATACTGCAGCCTCAAGTATTTATCTTTCTGCTTTTATGCTTCACTCGTCATACTTGTCACACAAGGTTCGCCCTCCAAATACGACAGTAGTGGAATGTTTACGGCAAAAGATCATTATTATAGCATTGAAAGCATTCTTTTCTCAATTTGTTAAGTTCCCTATATAGCGTGCATCTCGGTTACAGCCGGTGACGGTGGCGAAGACCTCTGGTTTTGAATGAACAAGTGAGTGAGTGGGAGGGAGCACTACCACTACTTCACGTGCGGGCGGTCTCTGTCGTAGGTCACGTGTCATTAAGACAAGAAACGAGTTTTGTGAGAATCCACCACTTCGGATTGTTAGCCCGACAGTAACCAACTAAGCTACGTCCACACTAAGAAAGTGTAATTCCAAATATAACATTACATTTGACCACTTTCTAAATGACATTGTGTATTCATACGTCCACACTGTTACACAATGTGCAAATTTATCTTGTAGTCATTCCTGAAGCTTTACGGAAATGAACGGAAACAGTCGAATAGGTCCCACACAATTACGAAGGTTACGGGCAGACTTGGTGTCTCGTGATTTTAATCTACGGACAATTACGGAATTGTCCCGATGCCATTTGTCACACTCATTCCGTAATGTACAAGATACGGCGCGAGCTGAAAACGGCTCTTGGTGTCAGGCGTCAGACGTCGAATTCACGGTATGCATGAATGACATGCATTTGTAGGGAACATTGTAAGGATAATGTGGATCTCACACTGAGGAATGAGGGAGACATGAGCATGTTTGGTGACGGCACGAGGGTGAGTTAGCCTTCGAATCATTGCTGAACAAATGTAGCGTGTGAAAGTGGCTGAAGTGCAAGTTCCAGGCCAAGTTCCATTAGCCCGAATTTTCTACATTCAACCATTTCTTCGATCGCGTTCCTCGACGTTTTTAACATGCGGAAGGAAAAACAACAAATGGTGCACATGCATTGCACCGGAAATCTACCTGCTGTATTGGATGACGTCCCTAACCCTAAACCTTAACCCCGACGCCTCGAAATAATCCTAATAAATAGAACACATTGACCTAACCGGCACGAAAATGGCTGACGTGTCCAGTGTAATGCATTCTTACCGCTTCGAAAAATTAAATACATGTATACTAATAAACTCTGTGTAACGAAGCAAATTACTGAATAAAAAAAAATATATGTATATTAGTTCCCATTAATAATTCATTTAGTCCTAAAAATTACGTTGAAGCCGAAATATTAAAGACTTTTGTGCTTTCATAAACTGGTGTTTGCTATAGAATGCGCCACCATCGTCCATGTTTACAACTCCCCACATCGCTTGGCTTACTCAATGACAATGCGACGACAGAACACTGAGAAGAGCTTTAGACACACGACAACCCAGCAACAGTCTGGCGTCAAACAACATTCTACCATGGCTACGTGAAATGCTCCAATTTGATTGGTCAAGCCATAAAATCAGACGGTATCAATTTGGATTGAAAATGCGTCTGATTTCACGGCGCTTCACTGTGCACGTATACAACACTGCCGCACTACTTCAGCTTGGCCACCAACATGACTAATATCAACACAACAGACGTGATGGAAATGCTGATGAAACATTTATTAAAACTCCAAAAATTCAATTATACGATTTCTCCTCCACAATTATTAGGGGACCTCACTATCATAATTATTACCTTCTATTATAAAAATATTCAAAAACAATTACAATACACAGCCCCAAACATAAACAAACAATATCTAACATATAAATAAAAAAAACGTGTAAAAATACATCCCTATCTAGCTCTATTTGTGCGGCAAAACGTTCGTAAACATTTACCTACCTGGTAAATGGTATATTTGTTTCCGTTTAGAATGGGAAATTCGCAAGATAACGGTCAGGCGAAACACAAAATTCGCCACACATACTCCATCATGTCCCGTTGCATCGTTCAAAATGTCAAAAACTGAACCATGAAAATTCAGTTCTCTGCCACCTTCCCCGAAGGCTGTCACTGCTATGTTCGTACACTTTGAAAAGCTTGGCCACAATCCAGTCCCAAATGATGAGAAAAATGTTCCAAGGAATCCCAAGTTAGTCGCATGTACACAAAGCTACACTGTCACTCTTCCTCGCATGCCAGGGTGGAGGCACGTACGTGAAATCATGATCGACACCCGCCGGTCATAAAAACCAACAGTCTTTGATGAGTTACAGGTTATAGGTCGATCAGAAAAGGATCTATTCTTCGATTCTGCAGGGCTCAGGTTCGACAGTCAGTCAAGTATTTTCCACTTTTCACGTCGAATTTTTAACCTTTCGCAAAATGTAAACACTGGCTCGTCCGCCATTTCAAACTGTTGCGTAACTGTCTACTTCCCAGAAAATAAGTAGGTCAGACGATTCCATTATACTGTGGCCAGGGGGGTACAGTAATACGGCACACAAAACAATAGGCTGGTTTCGGTCTTGTAGAGTTACGATTATAAAAACCAAGCTCTTAGGTGTTACATTATTGCATTGAATAAACAGTAATTTGTTTTCTTTTGACAGAATATTTTTTATGTTGCAATGTTAAAAAAAATACGAACGGAACCTACCACTCCTTTATCAGACGAGTTCAATTCGTCTCTTATCCCATGCCGGATTACGCAGTGTCTTCCGCAGGGCGAGGAAGTTCGATAATAAATCGGTTATGGTAGAATGGAGATAAACATACTGTGTTTGGAAATTAGATGAATGTTAGGCCGAATTGATAGTCTCTAAATTAATCATTTGAAACCTCACGCTACGCGTTCGGCTTCAAATAAAATTTAGAGACTATCAATTCGGCCTAACATTCATCTAATTTCCAAACACAGTACGTTTATCTCCTAATTGTTTTTGGTAACAAAGTTTCACAAATTACGTCATAAGGTATTGTGATGTAATTTGTCAAGTTTGTGGTGCTGTATTCTAAAGGTAGGCCACGAACTAAATTACGTGATCATTTGAGTTCGTCATAACTGGAATTTACTGTATTTGTGGTTTATGCAGAAGGTTCAATTTGAGATGGTGTGTCAGGAAGAAGAAGGCGCGAACTGTTGTATGCGGAAGTATTGTTGTCATGTGATGCATTAAACTTCGTCAAGCTGAAGACCCGGGTTCGATTCCCCCTCGTGGGCACATTGTGTGTGGTCTATTTCAGGTGTCTCCCGTCTTGATATTGCTGGAAGTTTCTGGTTCTGATATTTAATGAATTTGGCTAAGTATTGGCAATGTATTTAGGTCTTGTTCGTATCAGGATGCCAGGGGCGACTCATCCACTCTCGTCTCGTACACTTTATTGGTATGTTATTCAATGCGTGTCAAAATAAGTCACTGCTTTCTCTAGCTTATACTCGAGATCTGACGAGAATGATAAAACACCGCTCACTCACTCATTCACTCTCTTACTCGTATCAAGGATGACACAGCTAACTGTTAATTCAATTATAGAGACTTTCTTTTCCATGCCAGGGAAGCACCTGCTTTGCATAGACCCGATGGAATGAACACCAGTGGAACACACAGCACACGTGTAAAAAAAGATGAAACATATGGTTGAGATGGTCAGGCTCGTTCACTGGGGTGATGGCACATCAGCGTATCTGGACGCTTGGAGATGTCACGTGACATGAACCGCTGAGATCAGCCCGGAACTACCTACGTACAGTACACGACGAGTATACATAACGAACTGACCTATATATCGAACTGTTTTATTGATCCCGACACCTTGCGTGAAAGCGTATAACGAACTACCGTTATAACGAACTATAGTTAGTGATCCCTTTCGGTTCGTTATAACCGTAGTGTACCGTATTAAATATAACATTGACTCAAGATTTAAAATCTGATTGATGGCAAAAAAGGCCCACTTTAACAGTGTCACGAAGCAATAATACATCTTCTGTGTCACGAAGCAATAATACATCTTCTCTGACAACCAGTGTTGGCTTTGTGTTATCATTCAGATGTTCTAATACGGATATGGTCGGTTGAACGCTTCTTGATACACCCTGTCAAACCTCTCACTCTGTTCAACAGTGAACCAGTTCTTCCAGTCCCCGGCTTCACCTGCAGATGGAAGTAAGTCGTTAGTAGGACTGCACGGTATTACTGCTTTACGCTTTTCAGTTGTATTCAATTATATGTATTGTAATACACTTCCTGTGAACCGATATCATAGGTAAAAAATACGTTTAGTGATTATCTGTATAGTCTAAGTTAAAATCTACACAAACTTCCAATCACAACTGATTTTTCCTTTCGTAAATCATTGATAAAACGGCACATACAAATAATACAATAAATTGATAATGATAGATAGAGTCCCTAACGATTTGTCCTGAGGTGCATTCTCCCCCCTTCTCCAAAATCCTGGATCCGCTCCTATATCCAACCACATTTTGAGATTTCCAGTTATCAGAACAATAACATTTTTGTAGGGCTTTTGTTGGTAGAAAATAGGATCTGTATTTACAACCAGTGCCACTCAGTCTAAAGACTTAAGCTCTCAATATATCGCAGTACGTATCACATACTGGTACCTGAATCGCAATATATCGCAATAAAATGTATTGCCAACCTTTGTTGTTGGTCATCAAATTCTGTTTTCACGTGCGTTTACACAACGGATAAGGACAACGTTTTAAATCCGAATTTCTTTTTCAATCAAAATTATCATAAATTATTTATTATGAGTGGGCCATCGAACCATTGTACCTCTGAAAACTTAATACCTTACGTCAAACCCATAAACTGTAAGATATATTTGAAATTAATCATTTCGGGTTCATGACATGCTCCATACTTCAAAACACAACAAATTGACCATACCCTGCCTAAGAATAGTTCCTAAATTCCCAATGATCGCAAAGCAACAGAATCTCTACAGATGTACAGCAAAGGTTCAAAGTTTACATATCGTTTTCAGTTTCAACCAAAACAGTTAAGGGGCTACCAAGGCAAAGGACTGTCTGGTCCAGACACCCCGTCTCTGGATTGTCTGGTTAAGTGTCTGGTTTTAGGCATCTGTTAGCAATATTGCAGCATTATCAAGGCGGGGGACATCAGAAATGGGCTTCACACATTGTACCCATTTGGGGAATCGAACCCGGATCTTCGGCGTGACGAGCGAACGCTTTAACCACTAGGCTACCCCACCGCCCCTGTCTGGTTAAGACTCAGTCGTGAACAAGTCGCCGTGTATATAGTATGAGTACGACTGCGCGTCGTCAGGTAACAAAACTATCCTTTCATGCAAACAGAGTACGTTGCGGGTGTTACCAACTGGGCAAGACCTGCTTACACGTTTTGTGAACACCCGGTGTCTTCACTGATATTCCATGACACACTCATAAAATCTTCACCTAAATATTTTTTCGCCCAAAAGAATCTGTTGACGCTTGACCCTTGTGTTTATCCGGTGTTTGTGTCTTACACATTGCAAAACCTGCGGGAGGAACAAGGCGCATGTTCTCTGCATTAACCATTTGCTGACAGCGATGTTACCTATGCGACAATCGTAAGTCGCCGTTAGATTCCGATGAATAAAAGATCCAGATACTCTACCCTTCCTGAAGTAGCCGCTGGAACCTTCTCTCCACTTGTTGTGAAAAGACTGGTCTTTCACGTGTTCGTGAGCGTGCTTCAGCTTTGAAAAACCGCAGGCGTCAGCTATTTGTTCGTAAACCTTGTATGGAAGAGGACGGTTGATGAATTCAGCTAAGCGTTTGACCTCCTTCACGTCATCCTGAAAACATTCACAAAAATCAGTGATGATTTCATGACAACGGTAGAACAATTGTAACACTTTACTGGACTGGTCATAAATGTTTACCATTACTAAATTACCCAAACAGGCGAGTTATCTCGATTTTGGCACCAAGCTAAAACACTGAGCTAAGTTCACTTAAAACTCCATCTTGTGCACTCTCTTGTTCTACAAAATGGGCTCTTTCGAAACGTAATTCACTGACTGTCGGGAGTGGCTTGCGGGTCAAGTGACTGCATGACTAGTAGACGGCATTGTAACAATGAAAGACGGGAAGAGGAAAACCGGACAACTGCCATCATATGAATCAGGAGAAAGGTCGGTGGAAAAAAGTATCAAAATTGACAGGGCTAGACGAGGCATTTCCGTTTCAGGACATCGAAGGTTGAAGACATTTGGAGGAGGTGGAGTCTGAGGGTAGGACGAGATCGGCAATTCCCGAGTGTGTGACATAGCGTCGCGGTACACTGGTCAGTGAAACGCCAATAAATGGCCGATGAGATTTTGCCTCAAGCAAAGATATTTCAAAAGTATTTTTTACTGGTGAACCCGAGTTTCTGTTCTTTCGGATATCATTGAAACAATCTTAGTGAGTGAGTGAGTTTAGTTTTACGCCGCACTCAGCAATATTCCAGCTATATGACGGCGGTCTGTAAATAATCGAGTCTAGACCAGACAATCCAGTGATCAACAGCATGAGCATTGATCTACGCAACTGGGAACCGATGGCATGTGTCAACCAAGTCAGCGAGCCTGGCCACCCGATCACGTTAGTCGCCTGAAGATACTGAAGATCAATATTCTAACCCGGATCTTCACGGGTCTGAAACAATCTTAAAGAGGTAGAAAAGTTATAAGTGGTCGTCGGATTCTTCAGACAGATTGTCGTGGGGCGGTATCAATCAACATTGAATGAGGCCATTGTTGATAGTTAAAGGGATAATTTGGAACAAATATTAGGAGGTCCTGCAAGACAATATGTCTGATTCGTATGTCGGGGGGAAGTCGGGTGCCATCAACCGTGTCCGTAGCTCGTGTCCCTCCACTACCTGGCTGGACACATATCACCTGACTGTCTTGGGGTGCCAGTCGCCATCACGTCATCTTAACCAGAATGAAACTGTTTGGCAAATTATGAAAAGGGTGGAGGCAAAATATACACGTGAATGGTGTTGGGTCATTCGCCAACGTTGGACGACCTAGTCTCATCATCAGTGTGACGTGATATGACGCTGCTACAGTCATCTCCTACAAGAAATTATTGTGACAATAACTGTGGAAAGTATTCTTGATTTTTTTAAATAAAAAATTAACTTCAGATTTATCGCATTTTTGTGTTCGCAACTGTACTGTACAAAAAAACAAGGGTCATGATTATGTTGGGAATACATTGTTAGTGATCATGAAAAATATGCTAATCCCTCAGATTTCATCATTCACCAATCTTTTTGGTTCAGGATGCACCTGAAGTCAGCAACGAAATCTTTCTACCCAAAGTCCACTTGTAAATTTACAATCGAATTATTTGTACACACAGTATTCCGTCGTCTGGATATACATAGCAGGTATATAGAGATACTTACTTTCTTTAGATCTTCAAAATGAGCCTGAAGAAAAGGTATATCTGGATGGTCTTGTGGAAATCTGTTCCAGCACAGACTGTGGTTGAACACCGAATCATATGGTACTGGAACGGATACACACAAATATCATGACCGGCATGGCTCAAACTGTGATAATAATTGAAATAGCACCGCTCTGTAAATCTATATATGACTATTAATCATATGTTACCTGTTTATCACTTGTAATATTGTAATCAACAACAGTTCATGTAATAATAGTTCCACATAGCCTACAATATATATATATGCACATTATAGTAAACTATCATGGCCTTATGTTTTAACGTTAAATATATGTTGTTATACATTGTCAGTTTCATTTAATGATAAAATAGTCGTGTAGAATGAGTGAGTGAGTATGGTTTAACGCCGCGTTCAACAGTATCCCAGTTACATCACGGAGAGCCCGTGATGCTCGTCTTGGAGGTCTCAAACCCCACTCACTAACTCAAAATCACTCTCACTCACTCACTGACTCACTCACTTACTCACCCAATCAACGCACCGTAGTCAATCACCTATCCACCTACCCCCTCACTTACTCAGCCACATACCGCACACTCACTCACTCACCGACCCATCCACTCACTCACTTATTAACTTACCCAGTCACTCACTCTGTCACCCACTCACTCACTCAAGTATTGTGCCTTACCATTTCCTTTAATGTGGGCGTCCACGTAGGCAGCCCATGTTCCTGTGAAGGCTGCATCACGTGACTTGTCCACCCAGTTCTGATTCATGTGCTGGACGAAGTAGGACACCACAGCATCCTTGGGATTTCGTTGAACATTGATAACATGGCACTTCCGGTCCCATATTTCTCGTGGCAGCAGCCTTTGTATTGGAACAAACAGAATGAAGACCATACATTGTCACATGAATTCTATTCTTTTCTTATGAATCTTCTTACACATAGATTTAGTAAGCTGAGTGATTAAATTAGCCCAGCGTGCAGACTGCTAATGCTTGAACATGAATAATTAAATCAACGTGCAGACAGCTAATGCATGAACATGAATAGTTAAATCAACGTGCAGGACAGCTAATGCATATTCATGTATAATTAAATCAACGTGCAGGACAGCTAATGCATATTCATGTTTAATTAAATCAACGTCAACAACAGAGAAAATTCAATTATCCCCCCGAATCAGATTCCTCTAGACGTAGAAGTCAAATAACGGTGTGTGGTCGTGTGCATAGAGCGTAGGTCACAAATCAGGTGAAGTTAAGCAACGCTGGTCACAGACCTAGAGATCCTTGGATGGGTGACCGGGTTTGGCAGCTTGACTCCTAAAAGTTTCTAGGACTTGTGTCCTGCCCCACCTATGTGGTCACACCTTAGGCAAGCGGGTTTGTTCAAAATTGCCTCTGTTCACCCAGCAGAAAATGGGTACCCGGTGGTATCAGTCATGTGACTATTAACCTTCTTGCGCCTTACAGGCAGCTTGGGTTATCCGGAGTAATAAAGCCCATCATGTTGTATGCGCTTATCTACAGCATGTCCGTGCGGCGTGAACTTCGGCGCTATATCAGTTACCATTTCTTCTTATTATTATAAATCATAAGTATAGATGACTGAAATCAGTGATTACACCAGGTGTTTGAGAAAATGAGAAAATGTAAGCATGTCCTGCTCTACTGCTATCACCTGCCACTCACACAAGTTACATAAACAGTCAGTGCTTGTTACCTTAATTATCAGCTTGAGTATAACTACACAATTAAGCGATGATAATTCTCTGTCCGACTCATTACACACAGACAGTGCGTGAGTATAGTTTCACGTCGCTTTTAGCAATATTCCAGCAATATCACGGCGGGGGACACCAGAAATGGGCTTCACGCGTTGTACCCACGTGGGGGAATCGAGCCCGGGTTTTCGGCGTGACGAGCAAACCACTAGGCTACCCCACTGGCCCAACATACAAACAAGATACTTGCCGTGGGGGAAGATGAGTAAATAGTATCCTAGGAGAAGGAAGAGAGTCCAGTTCCTCCTCCGTCCTGGAATCAAGATGTGCAGAGTTCTGCCAGTGTTTGGCATACTGTGGCTGCCCAGCGACAACCATACTGAGGATCTCCCACGTCCAGTGTGTGCCTTTGAAATTCAAATCAAGTCGAATTACAAGACATAAAATTAGTTTGAATCTTTTAAAATATATATCATATTTCTCACGATTTACATCATAATTACTCTGTCTAATGCCCTGTCTTGTTCTTGTATTCCCATTTATTCTGTGCAAAACTATTCCCACACCACAGTACCTTCATAAAGGTACGACATCATAATGCTGCCACTTTCGTAGCGTACACTATTGTTCAGCAGAATGTCTCGTTGCTTTGAATATTTCTTCACGGTTTCGATTATTTGTCGTTACTTTGAGTATTTCTCTAACTAACAAGCAAATAATCGAAACAACGAGAAACGAGGATAAATTTATAGTGCTTTATTTCCCAAAACACCATTCGTATAGATACAGTGCGGTTTGTCGACAGGTGCACTGGGACTTGTTGGAAAAATGTGAGTGAGTATGGGTTTACGCCGCTTCTTACAATATTCCAGCAATATCACGGCGGGGGACACAAGAAATGGGCTTCACACATTGTACCCATGTGCGGAATCAAACCCGTACATTCGGTGTGACGAGCGAATTCATTAACCACTAGGCTACCCAAACACAGACAGTGGTAAGTGTTACAGAATGAGGGTTATCGACAAACGCTTCAATGGCTTTGAGCAGAGGGGTCAGGTCCATGAAAGGCCCAGCCAAACTGTGTTCAGAGTTTACGCAGTTTGAATTCGGGTGAAATAATCACTTCTGGCATTTTATTGAGAAAAAAAACCCTCTACCCAGTGAGGTCACAAACTCGTAACCCGCTTTTAAGTATTTTGTTATTTTGGGATCTGATTAACAGCTTATTCCTAAACGGTCCTTTTATCTAAGGAATTGTACAAACACACGTGTATAATATAGTCAGATTTGAAAACAGTTTAGTCCAGTGTACTTTGAGACTTTTCGGAGACTAAAATCAAACCGAATTAGACTACCTGTCATATCACTATGCATTAGGCAAGTTGTGAAAGATAGGGGCTCCCCCTTACTTCTACTATAAGCTGCTAGCTATAAGTATTCAACCCGGCTACCGTCTTAACAGGTACCCAGCTTGACACATGCTGGAGTGTTCGCTCGTCTTGTCGACCACCCGATTTCGATTCCCCCAAATGGTACAATATGTGAAATGTCCCCCGCCGTAATATTGCTGGACTGTTGCTGTAAACGGCGCAAAACTACACTCACTCACTCACTCTACCTATTCTCAACTGCATCACTTCGGGCTTGACCCTCACAGCCTCCCTTGGATATAACTGGAGTACTGTTCGAGGCATCCTAAAACTCAACTATCCAATCTTAACCAACGGATCTCATTGAAACCACATTAATATCTAACATATTTTGCCATTTTCGTTTGACACATTTATGTTCTTTCAGACTTCGTGACCACCATTTATTGCAACACGATGTTCATGTCAACATGTAAGTATAGGATCTTGGATAATCCGTTATTTGAAACAATGTGAAGGACTTCGATTTAGCAACGACCAATATGTTTTACTTTTTAGTTTTAAAATTAGTGATTCTAATCTAATCAAACTTACCGGATTTAGGGTATGTGCACACAAATATATCGTCATCTCGTACAGTTCGACTCTTCATGCCAGAAACATGATGAACAATTCCGGATGGTATCACGAGATCTTCGAACATTTCGAGCTGCAATCTGAAGCCATTTTCCATTCCTTTCAAAGCTCGACTAGACATGTTTATCTTTTAAAATGTCAATTTACGTTGTACAGAACACTGGAGTATGAACGACTGCGGCTCTAAACTGTTCCGTGTTTGCTTTCGGGTTCAAATGACGAAGTACGTGTGCGTGAATATAATGTAAGCAAGATGGCTGCTGGGCATTTTTACGTGATAGGGGCGGTGGGATAGCCTCGTCTTAAAAGCGTTCGCTTGTCACGCCGAAGACCCGGTTTTGATTCCCCACATGGGTACAATGTCTGAAGCCCATTTCTGGTGTCCCCAGTCGTGATATTGCTGGAATATTGTTAAAAGCGGCGTAAGACCGTACTTAATTACTTACTTTTTATGTGATAGCTTCCGTCTTCTGGTTGTTATTACAACACGACATGAATCCCATAACGTCAAAGTCACGTTGATTCTGTAGCTGTATATATGTACCGCTTCAAATTACAGAACATAAAGAAGCGATATGGAATATATGTTTCTTCACGAAACGGTGAAGCGATGAAGCGCTCGTTCGCCACGCCGAAGACCCGGTTTCGATTCCCCACAATGATACATGTACAATGTTTGAAGCCCGTTTCTCGAGATGGCGATGAAGAAAAGAGTAAGTGAGTTTATTTTTACGCCGCTTTTAGCACTTTTCCCGCAATATCTATGCGGGTGACACCAAAAACGGGCTTCACCATGTGGGGAATCGAACGATGAAGCTAAGAAGAAATGGTTACTATTAATGGTTTATATCATTAACCATGGCTACCATATGATAGTCCAAGTAGATCATACAATTCTTTTCACAAAATGTGTAGTCTGTAGTACTATGGTAACTGATTAATTTAATAACGGTGACGGTTGTCAGACATTCAGTGGTTTCTTGTTACATGTACATGTTGTAAATACATGACGAAATGAACAAGCTTCATTCTTTGTAAATGTCGTTCAAGCTTCTGTAAATAATAGGGCGTCAGAAATAGCATGCATGTTTGAGTTGCAAAGGGCTGTGTCAGAGGGTACTTAGCATTACGTCAGGTTGATAGTGGAGGTGAGGTGAATGGGGTTTAACCTCGTACTTAAGAATATTTCGCTCATATGACGACATGCATGCGTGTGTATGTGTGGCTGCTTGTACTAGCGGGGCGGTGGGGTAGCCTAGGGGTTAAAGCATTGGCTCGTCACGCCGAATACCCGGGTTCGATTCCCATCATGGGTACAATGTGTGAAGCCCATTTCTGGTGTCCCCCGCCGTGATATTGCTGGAATATTGCTAAAAGCGGCGTAAATCTAAACTCAGTCAGTGCTTGTACTAGCCCAAACTTAAGCTGGTCTTATAGGGCTAGCTCACTGAGATACCATGCCGCAGTTAAGCATGAATACCCCACTCAGACACATTATACTGACTCCAATCCAACCAGTCCTTGTTGTACCCATTAATGCCGACCGCCAGACAGGGATGAACAAATACCATATTTTAACGTCTTTTGGCATGACCCTGCCGGGGATCGAACCCACGACCTTCCGCTCTCCGGGCGGATGCTCTAACCACAACACCACGGAGGCGGGTCCGGTTGATAGTTGAGCTCAGTTATGATGAGGCACGAATGCACATATCTGCACACATCTGCACAGAATCGACATAAATATTGGAACTCGGTGGTCAACGGATGACAAAGGTCAGAAGGAGACAGCGGCCATGTTTATTGCAGTTGGGTTGAAAATGGTCGACATATATTGTATAGATACAGTGCATCCAAACGGTTGACTGATATTTGTAATCTGCTTTAGTTGCAGAGAAAATATTTGTTACTTCTAAACTTTTGTGTGTTCAATTCACGTAGATCAAGACTGTTGTGAGTTGAGAGATCAGCTCTGATATGGTGCACATAATATCGTCTGAGATACCCATATCATACATATATATCCGATAATAACTATTTCTTGGTGGGATGTGATATGTAAAGCCTCCATTCGTCTGCAGACTGGTACAATCAGTCACACACACGTACATGCAAGTCACTGTGAAAACGAATGTTGAATAATCGTGACCACGACTTTAAACCCCGTTCCAACCTCAATTCATCCTCACCTCAACGGGTACCATACAACGAACGTCACACATTTAGTATGGGATGCAACGTTCTTGAAATGAGCAGAACGTACTCCTCCGATAGTACCCGTCAGTCGATTTACATAAATGGTTTGCTTGTAGCGTAACGCCTCACGCAGCGATAGTACCCGCCAGTCGATTTACATAAATGGTTTGCTTGTAGCGTAACGCCTCACGCAGCGATAGTACTTAGGTGAACGCGCAGATATGTGTCGTGGACAGGGGAATTAGCTCGGTATTAGGACGAACTGTACATTAACGAAGACGAAGGAATAGATTGATTTCAAACTTCTTTAGTTGGTTACACAAGACATGACATAAATAGAGAATCTCACCCGAGTGTCTTTTGATATCAAATATATCACCACGAGTTGATAAAGTAACAAATATCCGAGGCTTGCCGAGGATATTTTTACTTTTATCAACGAGTGTTGATATATTTGAAATCGGAAGACACGAGGGTGAGATTCTATTTATCATCAAAAATCACTCTTCATTAGTTTTCAATGAAAAATGTACATCTCAGAACACAGAACTGCCATTAGATTTGCAGTGCAGCGATGTCATAGCATTGTGACGTCATCAAGTTCATGACGTCATAACATTTTTCAGGGCATTGTGCAAAATCTACTGTGAAAACGATATCTCCTAGGAGATATCGTCTGATCTCACACAAGCCATATCTCCTGTGGAACACAGTTTTGGATGGTAAACGAGTATACATAAATGAGGTGAGCGGAGTTCCAGCTCAAGCCCGGGGTTGTTTCCTACGAGCGGCATTATCCTGCTCGGAATACCGGACTGCTTGACATGTTGATGATTTCAAGTTTAAAGGTCACATATACTCTACGGGGTACAAATACATAAATCACTAATTGGCATCGTTATAAATGAAATCCCGTCATTAAAACTACTCATTTCGATCTTTAATTAATTAACTTAAACCGGCCTTTTGACAACAGTGCACAATTCTCACCCATGAACGAAATTTCAACCAATCAGAGAAGGCGCGTCTCCGTGACGTCATGTGAAGAATAGATATGAGGGCCGATCTTGTTTACAGGTTTGTATAAACCTGAAATCGTGACAACTGTTGTGAAAATGAAAGCTATATATTCTCACAGTCTACTGTCATTTAACTGTGTCACCTGCTTTGCCTAGCTTCCGAGTTACAACTTGTTTTTATAGACGATTCTGTCAAAATCGCTTGGTATGGCTAAGCCTTATTTGGTCGAACCAGACGCTAGTGATAGTGAAAACGACGATGAGCCTCGCTCATCACGGTTACGGTTAACTTCTTCAACCTAAACAGTGCGACATTAGGAAGGGTGGATGACCATCAGATGCCGTTATTTGAAAATATCCCCGGCAGTCCTTGTCTGTAGCTGTAGCTGTAGCCAATGTCGCCGGCGGAGTAGGTGGGAGCTAATATAATAATTAATATGTTTATAGTAAGGAGTAAACCACCATACCCCTAAAATGTAAATGAAGGGGCGTTAAATTACCTTGAATTTAGAATGAAAACGTTTAGAAACAAGATAATGAAATAAATTAAAAGCCGAAATTAGCTATAGGAAGGGAAAGGAAAATATAGTGGTTTGGTTAGTTAATGTGAGGGGGAACTGGTTGACAATATATATGTGAGCATATAAACAGTTTTTGACACATATGGACAGGCGAAGACTCAACAATGGACAGGCAGAAAAACAATAACACTTCCTGTACCAGTTGATGTGAAGTGTCAGACAAGGCCAAGGGGGTTGACCAATTAAAGCTATAAATGTCATATACAATAATTAATGACAGTGACAGAGTGGTAAAGGGTGGCTGACAAGACAATGTACACTGCGGTAGTGATAAGGATTAAGACTGCAGATTAAATAATTACAATTTAGTCTCATATGGCTTGGATACATAGATTATGGTCTTTAGAAATATTTGGACGATGGTTGTCCGGAAATAGACGCTACAACATTGATATACGACAGGGGCCTGTAAACAACTGACTATGTACATACACTCCAGTCACAAGACAGCACATTTACTGATATACGACTGGGGCATGTAAACAACTGAGTATGGACATACACTCCAGTCACAAGACAGCACATTTACTGATATACGACTGGGGCATGTAAACAACTGAGTATGGACATACACTCCAGTCACAAGACAGCACATTTACTGATATACGACTAGGGCTTGTAAACAACTGAGTATGTACATACACTCCAGTCACAAGACAGCACATTTACTGATATACGACTAGGGCCTGTAAACAACTGAGTATGTACATACACTCCAGTCACAAGACAGCACATTTACTGATATACGACTGGGGTCTGTAAACAACTGAGTATGTACATACACTCCAGTCACAAGACAGCACATTTACTGATATACGACTAGGGCCTGTAAACAACTGAGTATGTACATACACTCCAGTCACAAGACAGCACATTTACTGATATACGACTGGGGTCTGTAAACAACTGAGTATGTACATACACTCCAGTCACAAGACAGCACATTTACTGATATACGACTGGGGCCTGTAAACAACTGAGTATGGACATACACTCCAGTCACAAGACAGCACATTTACTGATATACGACTAGGGCCTGTAAACAACTGAGTATGTACATACACTCCAGTCACAAGACAGCACATTTACTGATGTACGACTGGGGCCTGTAAACAACTGAGTATGTACATACACTCCAGTCACAAGACAGCACATTTACTGATATACGACTAGGGCCTGTAAACAACTGAGTATGGACATACTCTCCAGTCACAAGACAGCACATTTACTGATATACGACTGGGGCCTGTAAACAACTGAGTATGTACATACACTCCAGTCACAAGACAGCACATTTACTGATATACGACTGGGGCCTGTAAACAACTGAGTATGGACATACTCTCCAGTCACAAGACAGCACATTTACTGATGTACGACTGGGGCCTGTAAACAACTGAGTATGGACATACTCTCCAGTCACAAGACAGCACATTTACTGATATACGACTGGGGCCTGTAAACAACTGAGTATGTACATACACTCCAATCACAAGACAGCACATTTACTGATAT